AAAAATTTTAATGATAATACGTATGTAAAGTGGGCGCTCGTTCGCTCGTGCACTCCTTAACAAGAGTATACTGTACCCATGTACGAAGAGGGAGAGAGTGCGCGAGTCGTGTTACATGTATGAGTAACGAGATGTAAGAATAACATGACCAAATATTGCACTAAAATTAGCTTCGCAGCAGCAGAAAAAAAGAACCCTCGTAGAGTCGTGAAGCCTATTACTAATACGCGTATGTATATAGTAGGCGCGTATCGCAGTTCTCTCTATGTTTATTTCGAGTCGTCTATATACATAAGCTAATACGCGCGCACGCACACACGTATACGGGGTATAGCACGTATATAGCTGAGTTTTTTCAAGGTTGTCGTCGTCGACGGGGCAGCCCCTCTTGCCCCCGTCGTTTTTTGCGGGTACCCCTCACTCTACTCACTAGTCACTCTCTTCGACTAAGTCGCTTTAGCTCGCGGCAGCAGCGACACGCACGATTATATGATTCGCGCACGCAACACTCAACGTCAAAAAGCAGCTCGTATAGTACTAATATTATATGTATACTTTACGGTGTGCGTGTGTGTGCTTCGTGCTGCAGCTTGCAACGATCTTTCGTCTGTCACCTTCTAGCTCGTCACGCGTTCCCGTGATTTAAAAATATATTTTTTTACGCACTGCACTGCCAACAACGACGACGACGCTCATGGCTGCGTGCATTCATCCTTTTTTAGCCGAAAGTGCATGTACATACCATTTTATTATGTTTGCATAGCATTATATATATATTGGAAGCGGCCTAAATGCACCGCACGCACGGCGACGCGTCGTATAACAACGGATATATATCGCTGCTGCTGCTGCTGCTCGCAGTGCTATAACGATGTATAAATATAAGTCACGGCGCGCACGGCATCACGCACACCCACGAAGTGTTGTTATAAGCGCGCGACGCGAGGCGTATAAATCGATATACAACGATACATAATAAAACTTGCGGCCGGCGAATCATATGTGTGTGCAGAGTACACGAGTCGCTTGTCTTACGATATCAACTTTTTCTTTCCTTTCTTCTACTTTCCTCGTTAAAAACCACTCCGACGAGATTCAATGGAAAAAATAAAATTATATCGGCTTTATTGATATACCTATATCAGCTGTTGAGCATATATGAGCAGGCGAAAAACTAGATCAGCGCGCAGACAGCGACCCGGGCCAAGGGCATCGCGCATCGTATCGGTCGGCCCCCGCTGGTAAGTATACAGTGGACGAAGCCACTGGTCCTAGCTCGAGCCGTCAATGCTCGGACTTGGGAGCAAAACTTCGGCGCGGCGAAGTGCGAGAAAGAGAGAGACGGAAATATATTATCGTCGACTCGACCCTCCCAAAAAATCCTCGAATGGCGCTTGGGTTTATCCACAGCGGATGCGTCGTCGTGCGGACACACACACACGCACACAGATACATATACACGAGAACATATACATACAAGCGTATCTATCTTTCTCTCTTTATCTTACTCATGCGGCGAAATATTATGCTGACAAGAGAGAGAGAAACAGAGAAAGAAAGCAAAAAAAATAGAGAAAGAAACCAGTCGGGAGTTGATTAAAAAAAAAAAAAAAAGAACGGAGAGAGAGAGAACGTGATGAGGAAAAAAATCAGGAATCGCGATGCGAGGGATTTATAAACGCGAGGATGCCATGCCATAATATTAGCGCGACGGTCGAGGTTATGTTTTGGCTGAATAGGCAAAATAGCACGTACGCGTAATGTACACACACCCACATACAATACATACACACATCGACGGCGATGCGGGACAGATAATACTAAAAACATGCATAGGACGTAAGCAAACATACACAAAAGAGACATTCGGAGCCATTCGGATTGTACGTGTAGCATTTAAACAGAGACAGCCCGATGATGTTTTGAATATACCTTACCGTGTTCGAACGTTCGAAAGCGACTTTACAATCCGCAGTCGATTGCAGTACAGGAAGACACTCTTGGAGTTCGAAGAAAAAGTTCGTTATTACAGTACAATAATAACGGGGCGATCACAGCGTCTCTGACCAATATATAATAATCGCCAGAAAAGAAAGACAGCGGATCGGCCCTCGGCGGGTGACAATGGCCGCTCCGATATTTCAGCTCCTCCGCTACTCTGCTCTGGCTTTTTACAAAGCTCGATAAGTCAGCAGCTATATAACACAACACGGCACACAGCACCAGTATCGCGGCACGTCGGACTTACGTCTCGGCCACAAACAACACTGCAGCAGCAGCAGCAGCAGCAGCAGCAGCAATAACGGTTGATCACAATGCCCAAGTTCAAACACTCGACTGTTTTGTTGTTGTTGTTTTGTATGCGCTGCTTTCGCTTTCACCCTCGCGTTAACTCGGTGGTGGTGTCGTGCACGCACTGCAGGTATATTATTGTTATTATAGTATACCTATGTAGATCACTAGCGTCACTACTATTTTGACGTTGCGCGTATACGTATATGTTCCTTTCAGCCGACGACGACGTTGAACTGCTATGCGCGAATGTATGTCAAATGCACGCACACACACACATACACGCACGTCTGCAAAAACAACACTGCTACGCGACTCTACTTGGAAACACCATTTAATTCTTCTTCGAGAAACACGCCAACTTGTATTTCGGTTTTAGCTCGAACCCTTTTCTTCTTCTTCTTCCGATAAACAGACTTGGCTGTTGATTCTGTGTATGTATATCCCTTTTTTTCCGAACTTTTATGCACTTGGCCTACAGAGCGATTTATCAATTATGTTTCATCGTGTGCAAGGACGAGGCGTTGCGCATTTTCTGGCCGTAGAGCACACTGCACAGCACATACATAATATCTCGTGACAACACGCACAGGGGCACGCACACAAACACAGACGACGGACGGACGGACGAAGAGAGACACACGCACAGCGAATTACGCACACCACCTCGACAGCAGCAACAGCGGTTGGCAGCTGAGAAACACAATTGCGATTATATTAGTTATATGTTCATGCACGAATGCGCGATCGGATGCGTGTCAGTGAGCCGCCGCAACCGACGACTCCGAAATTCACTCTACACAGCTCTCGACGTCGATTGTTTTAAATATCTACCACTCGCGAGAGACAATATATATGACACAACGTGTGAGAATTTTTTTTTAGGTCACTGCTACGATAGCGGTTAGAGCGCTTTTATCATTTCAAATATTTACTGCACCGAGTAAAGTCAAGAGTAAACTTATTACACTGGATTGTATATATTAGCGGGCAGCTGGGCGCAGAAAAAAAACTGAGAGAGCTGCTACTGCAAATGTAACACTGCACTGCACGTTCGGCGGGCGCAAAGTGTTATGTGCCAGAGTTACTGACTGACCAACTGGCAGAGCAAATTTGCAGAGCTGTTGCTGCTGATCTCGAGAAGAGAGCGTGTTCTATATATAATGATCGAAGAGTATATAGATCGTTTTTTTTTTGCTTCTTTGCGAATATATATATGTAACGGCTGAACTGTACTGTACTATGCTCGCTGTGCTTTCGCACTATGCCACTATATACGTAAGCGTTAAAGCGACGAAGACGACGAGTTAGCGACGACTAAAGCCTAGCGAAATTCTCGACTACGAGAAGTCTCGACGCGATTCGCGCGATAGCTGCTGCTGGCTGTGGTTAGTCGCGTGAGTCATTGTATTGGTGGATGGCTGGCTGTGTATGTGTGTAGGTATGCGTATATATGTGTGTGCGCGCCGCACAGTCAGCCAGCCAACGGCCGAGATCGGAGCAGCGCGAAACTGTTTCGCGGAGTTGTTTTAGTCCCACTCTTTCTTTTTTTTTTTATATTATCATGCTCTCGACGTATGGGCTTTATACTTACTCTACTAGGCGAGCATTGAAATGTGTGTGACATATCATGGGAGGCCTAGTAGTACATAGACTATAGAGAGTTTTATATACGAGAATTCGCGAGATTCTGCGTATTTTTTGCTACTCTCGGGGACATGAGCGTTACAGAGAATGGGGAGCTCCAAACTTAGTGGTGGTGGTGGTGGTGTTGTTGCTCAGCCTCACTATACTATATGCCTGCTGCGAAAAGCTGCTGACCTGACCTCAGGGAAGCGAGCGCGCGCACGTCGACAATCAGCAACGACGACGACGACGACGACGTCGATGGCATTCGCAGCTCCACGGAACGCTTCTACTACCATATCTATATATAAAAATTTATAAATGATTCATGACGAATTATTGCGCTAGTACCAACGAGAGAGATATTCGCCACTTACGTATCTCTTTATTTCTTCGCTCCTCGATAAAAATAAAGAGAATAGCGCAATTAACCGATAGAGAACGAGAGAGAGAGATTCGTCACCTGCCACGTATTTTTATATTCTCTGACCGACTTTCCATTGATTGCATCGTACCTCGTTCTTCTTTTTTCCTCTGTTCTCTCTTTTTTGTTCATAATTGCGTCGCGAGCCGCGGATTCATGTATATCTCGAGTCATGACAGCGGCCCCGTATAGAATCTCATAATTTTACGAGAATAGATAAAAATAGTGCGCTCACGCGTCGCAATACTATACTATCGACGGCGACAAGTAGATTATTGTTGTTGCTACGTGGCCGAGACGCACTTTTCCTATCTCTAACATAAAATATGACATTTATTGCGCTATAAGAGAAAACAAAAATGAAGACGCTACGAAAATAAACAGACGCGCGAACATCTCATATTACATTATGGGCGCGTTAAACGACTCCCGAGAAAATTCACTCTCGATTATTATGTCACTCGGCATCGCGCGTCATATGATATAGATTTTGAACGGCGCCGATCCCTGCGACGTGTGACTGCTGAGCCCGTCCGCCCATCGTCGCCGAATCTAGTGATCGTGGCCGAGTGCGCGCAGACGCGAACTTTCATAATTCCAATTTTTATTTTCCTTCCCGCATGGCGGCAGCAGCTGATTCGCTTCTTGTGGCGTGCAGACGATATTCGAGACCGAGACTCTATTGTGGTGGACGGTGGTGCCGCCGCCGCTTTGCTCGCACTGTTACTCGCGAATAAGACCCAAATACTGAGAGAGGCTCTCGGCACGAGTGCGTTGTGTTATTGTTATTGTTTTTGAGATTTTGACAGGACTAAGATAGCTAGAGAATGGCATTGAACGCCGCGAAGACGTGCAGACAGCTGGGCCAGAGCTGCAGCCGATTGCTGAGAGCCCGAGTGGTCCAGGACAGCGCCGCCAAGTATCAACTTTTCCGCGCTGCTTCTTCCAAGGTACGTTTTATCAACGAGGCCTCGATAAGTCTTGGCACCTTTTTTGCTGCGTCCACTGTGTGCGCTTGAATAATCGAACGTCTTTCGTCGGTCGTTTTTTTTCTTCATACATTAAATACCGTGTGAACCGTCGTTTGGTAAAATTCGCACACACTTTTATGTAATCGAAAAAGCTCGCGAATCGATGGCGTACGTGCGATGCTTTCTATCGGCCGTCATTGCCGATGCGTATCGTAAGACCGGATTCGAGCGGGGACGAACTTCAATGTCGCTTACTTCAACTTGGAAAACTCCTGTTCGACTTTTACGTCCGTAATTGAAGTTTGAAATATGCATGTATGGAAAACAAATAAGAGAAAGAGAGAGAGAGTCTGTTTGTCGTCTGCTTTTGAGGTTATACGCAATCGTAGCGCAGGTGATCGAGCTCGTGACTCCGAAATCTATAGTGTATATCTATATCTCGTTGTAAAGCTCGACGAGAGCGCGAATCGTTTGAAAACTGTACGCGTCGCGGAGCTTTATTATACTTTACTGAAATCGATAGAAAAAAAAGGGATAAAATTGCCGGCCGGTGAATACGTCCTACGTACATAAACAGACATTTGAATTTCAAGACATCGCGCGCGAGCATCCTCAACTACGTACATCTTACTGTCATTGTACGCGTGGTATTATATATGCCATAATATATAGCAGCCTACTTATCATCGAGTAGTTAAACCGGTTAACTTGCGAGACTCATACATACTTACATACATGCGAATAAAAGACGAGGCACACAAGCAAAAGTCATCTCTGTCCTCCTCGCGCTCGTAATAAATTTTACGATCTGGTGGAGTGGGAGCATCAGCTACCACACGCAGCGGCCACGAACGAGCTACACAAAGTACGAGCAAATTAACGTACAGGCCGGAGACGTGCTCCTCCACGAAGTATATAATAATTATCGATCGCGCCCAATTGTTGACTGTTGCAAACGACAAAAAATGGAGAACAAAGGTGGCCTCGGACGTGTACGTGTATTTGTGTTTGTTTATACCGACAAAAAAATAAACGAGACGAATGTCTCGAAATCGTTATGTGTATCGGCACGTAATAATTGATGTATCACTTTATTTACGTACGATTTTTTTAACAGGCAGGCGGATTTAGAAAGGAGCGCGACACGTTCGGCGAGCTGCAAGTGCCGGCCGACAAATACTATGGCGCCCAAACGATGCGCTCGGTCATCAACTTTCCCATCGGCGACCAGGCCGAGAGGATGCCGGTAAGATATTTTGACACACACACCCACACCTACTTTTTAATCGCGTTTCCTTATCTCAATTTTGCTTCTCTCTCTCTCTCTCTCTCTCTCGCAACGATAAATACAGAAAGGCGTGATCCAAGCCATGGGCATCCTGAAGAAGGCCGCCGCCGAGGTCAACAAGGAGTTCGGCCTCGACCCCAAACTCGCCGACGCCATCAGTAAGGCAGCCGACGACGTGATCAGCGGCAAGCTCTACGACGATCACTTCCCCCTCGTCATCTGGCAGACCGGCTCGGGCACCCAGACCAACATGAACACCAACGAGGTCATCTCGAATCGGGCCATCGAGCTGCTCGGCGGCGAACTCGGCTCCAAGAATCCGGTCCACCCCAACGACCACGTGAACAAGTCGCAGAGCTCCAACGACACCTTCCCCACGGCCATGCACATCGCCGTCGCCGTGGAGATCGACCGGTGTCTGCTGCCTGGCCTCAAGCAGCTTCACACCGCCCTCGACGACAAGGCCAAGGCCTGGAAGGACATCATCAAGATCGGCCGTACCCACACCCAGGACGCCGTTCCCTTGACCCTTGGCCAGGAGTTCTCGGCCTACGCCACGCAGATCGAGTACGGCATCGCCCGCGTCAAGGACACCCTGCCCCGGCTCTATCAGCTGGCCCTGGGTGGCACCGCCGTCGGCACCGGTCTCAACACGCGCAAGGGCTTCGCCGAGAAGACCGCCGCCAGGATCGCCTCGCTCACCGGTCTGCCCTTCGTCTCGGCGCCGAACAAGTTCGAGGCCCTCGCGGCCCACGACGCCCTCGTCGAGGTGCACGGCGCCCTCAACACCCTCGCCTGCTCGCTCATGAAGATCGCCAACGACATCAGGTTCCTGGGCAGCGGACCCCGCTGCGGCCTCGGCGAGCTCTCCCTGCCCGAGAACGAGCCCGGCAGCTCGATCATGCCCGGCAAGGTCAATCCCACCCAGTGCGAGGCCATCACCATGGTCTGCGCCCAGGTCATGGGCAATCACGTGGCCGCGAGCGTGGGTGGCAGCAACGGCCACTTCGAGCTCAACGTGTTCAAGCCCGTGATCGTGGCCAACGTGCTGCGCTCCGCCCGACTGATCGGCGACGCCTCCGCGGCCTTCTCCAAGAACTGCGTCGTCGGCATCAAGGCCAACACCGACGCCATCGCCAAAATCATGAACGAGAGTCTCATGCTCGTCACCGCCCTCAATCCTCACATCGGCTACGATAAGGTTTGATCATTTGCAATTGTTTATGTCACCGATCTTTCACGATGAATTTCGTTCCTTATTCATGACTCATTTTGTTTCAAACAGGCCGCGGCGATAGCCAAACAAGCCCACAAAGAGAATCTGACGCTGAAGGAGTCGGCCCTGAAGAACGGCCTCACCTCCGAGCAGTTCGATCAATGGGTCAAGCCCGAAGACATGCTAGGACCCAAGTAGTTTGCTGGATAGATTACTTACTATAAAAACGTTTTACTTAAGCTACACATAGTGTAACCCGGAATAATTACGACATTCACAAAAGAGAGAAAAAAGACCGAAGATGTGCGATCATTGTTATCGGTCCAGCCGCAAAAGTGTATATATAATATAAAAACATATGTAGGCCTTAGATTAATGTACACGCCAGTAATTGTATGTGTTCTCGAGGTCGGCGGTTGTAATCATCATTGTTTATATATGCAGAATCAGCTCTCGTCTTTCGCAATAAAAAAAAAACTCTTGAAATTACGATGAAATAGAGAAGAAAAAAAACTTGTAACTTTTATTTCGCTCGCCACGCAGAGTAGTAGCAAAAAATAAAAATACGATTATCAATTTCTTTCGTAATGATCCGGAGGGTTTGCCTATCTCAGCAGATTAATGTCTGTATGTGAATGAAAAAAAGAAGAGTCATAATCAGTCTTTACTCCGTTACACATAGAGGGCAAACATGTTGATCCGCAGCGTTCGTAGTTTTGCTCATAGTTTCAGCAGAAAAAATCACAACCAAGTGGGAATCATCGGCGTTCCTTTCGATAAAGGACAAGTGGGTTGTTTGATTGTTTTATTTTTCGACTGTAACGATCGGATGTAAAAAATTTTTTGTTTATCAAATTTTTCTCAATAGCGAAAAGGTGGCGTCGAGCTAGCTCCCGACACTCTGAAACAGGCAGGATTAATCAATGAATTGACGACGTTAGGTATTGTAGTACTTCGTCTCTAGGTACAAACGGTTTAAGTTGAATTCATATATAAATTTTATAAATAGGTTTGGACGTTAAAGATTATGGTAATGTGGAGTACGAAGTTTCGGACGTCAGCGTCGATAACATGTCCCAACTGGGCCACGTATCGGGATGCACGAAAAAGCTCTCGGAAACAGCTCAACGCGTTTTCGAGGACGGCCGAAACGTCTTGACGATCGGAGGCGATCACAGCATCGTGATCGGTTCCATAGATGCTCATGTCAAGGTAGAGTCGCACAGTTGCACATTGCAATCTCACTGGTTATTGATTTCAATGGTGGATTTTATGTAGGCTAAAAAAAATGTCGCGATACTCTGGATTGACGCCCATGCCGATTTGAATACCAACAAAACCAGCGAGAGTGGAAACGTTCACGGTATGCCGGTGGCTCTGTTAACTTCGGAGCTGGCTGATTATTGGCCGTATTTGCCTGGGATGGATTGGCAACAGCCCATGTAATTTTTTTAACAAATATTTATTAGCGTTTTTTTTTGTTTTGTCAAAAATCAATTTTTTTTAGGCTTTCAATTCGTAATGTAGCGTACATTGGTCTCAGATCTGTTGATAAATATGAGAGATTGGTAATTGAAAAGTTTGGCATTACTGCATTTGGAATGGAAGATGTAGAAAGATATGGTACAACTCTTTCTTTGTAATTCAAAAAAATAATTGCACTCGATAAAATACTAGTTACATTGATTATAGGAATTCATGATGTAATACATATGGCTCTAAGACGAATAGATCCAGATAATAATAAATCCTTACATGTCAGTTTTGACATTGATTCCCTAGATCCTCTTGAAGCACCAAGTACGGGTACTCCAGGTACATTTTTTGAAAATTAATTGAATCAAGACTCTTTTAAACACAAGCATCCTAAAAACATTGCATTTTGACAGTTCGTGGAGGATTATCTTTGAGAGAAGGTATTCATGCAATGGAAGAATTACACAGAACTCAAAGACTAAATGCAATGGATTTGGTTGAAGTTAATCCTATCATAGGTGACAAGAAAGATGTCGATCTTACTATTTCTGCTGCATTTCACATTATCCAAGCAGGATTTGGATACACAAGACGTGGATTGAAATTACCAGAGGGCATTACAGATATGCCTTTACAAACATTTAGATAAAAATATCAAAAAGTTTATAATTCAAATAAAAACTATAAAAGCATCAACAACAAGTTTTAAATTCATTCTGGTCTTTTTAATATTAGTTTGTAATCTGTAAGATTTTCCAAAGTTAGTTCTGCACTACGCAATTGAAGTGGCTTATTTTTTTCTTGTTTTAATAAAAAGTCATAATATAATGCTCCTCTAGATTTTGGTCCATGCACTGGAACTCGACACCACATTTTTTCATCATCTTGTCCATAATTTTGTTCAAGCATAGTTGCCACATATCCTTCTTTTATTGGATCTCCTAGATATTTTACAGCTTCAGGATTTGAATGCAATAATTTTATGGCTTCTTGGTAGTGATCAGAATCACGAATTTTTCGACTAAGTATCGCAGGCACGCTATTCCACATGACTACTGTAGCAAAACCTCCACCTATAGCTATCCATTTAGCTATTCTCTTTAAACTTTCGACACCACTCATTTTCTGTAAAAAAAAGAAAAAAACATGAGTCATGTCTAAAGTAATCGTTAAATATTACTTAGTTAAAGAAAAATTAATAAATTAAAATAAGCACGTACTTGATATAAATTCAAGAGTTTGACGTGACGCTTCGTATTTATTTTTCTCACTTTCATCAAGAAAGTTTGTGCATTTTTCGAGCAGACGAAACTAGCAGACGGCTTTCAATGTCTCCAAACTCCAAACTCAGTCGTTCAGTATATGCGCAGCTATGCTATGTGATGAAATTGCACGTGTTCTTGCGCAGCAGTAGTATAGCCGGTCGCGATTGACACAACCATAAAATTATTAAATTGAGCTATTGTTTTTACACAGTGCCAGTCAACATGGCAGGGCGAAATTTTATAAAAGCCTTCAATCGAAACCTTCTGACTGAACTGATTACAGACGTAGAAAGGGTGAACGTTGCAACTTTTGCAACTAAACCCGAGAGATATAGTCGAAGGTAATTTTTTTTCTTCCTAACTTATGTAATAAACGTTTTGGAACGTTCAATTATTTACCATTTGACAACAATCAAATTGTTTTGTAGAAACCATGAGGGGAAAGAATATATTAAAAAAGCCGATTTCGACAAGACCCTAATGGCAACAGCTAGATTTAATGCCAAAATTCAAGAAAGTAGTGATAGCCAGAATGACAATCCAGAAGACAAATACATTACTTTATTAAAAGCAAATCAAAAAGAAGATGTAAGTAAACATTGTGCGGGACTACTTTTGTAACAATAAACAAAAAAATAGAAATTAATTTTATTTATTTGGCTTTATCGAATACTAATTTTTCATTACAGCCAACAACCTCATCAGAAAAGAAATTATTTGGAAATTTAGGTGGTTTGCTTTATGAGAGAGTTGAATTGGATGCAGATGAATTGAAAGAAGATGAAAGACTCAAAGATGTAGGAAGAGTAGTTCCTAGAAATAAGAAACCAACTCCAGGTCAATATGCTGACCTGATTAAAGAGTATGTCAATAAAGGTGACTTAGATTCAGCTGAAAAAGTTATCGCACTCTGCAAAGAAAATAAAGATAAACCAACCGAATATATGTATACTCTACTACTTAAAGCATTTGCTGATCAAGGAGACATAAAGACTTGTTACAGACTTTACACAGAAATGAAATCTAGAAAAATGTCAATTCGATTAAACACTTATACAAGTTTATTAAATGCTTGCGCCAATTCTACAGAACGCGATAAAGCTTTACAATACTTGAAAAAAATCAGAGATTATATGGGTGAAAGTAATTTTAAATTCAATAATGCAAATTATAATGTTTTGGTTAAAGCTTATGGTAGACATGGTGAGCTAGACGAGGCATACAAAATTGTGCACCATATGATTGATAAAAATTTACCAATTGGTGTAACAACTTTCAACAGTCTTATGTATGCTGTCAACTCAGATTCAAAATCTGGATTAGGTCATATTGTAAAAATTTGGCAGATGATGAAAAAACTTTTTGTAAGTTCTAATAGCCAATACTCTCAAAAAATATTATCAGTACTTTAAAATATGCATTTAATTTTTTTTAGGTGCCTCCAGATATATTTACATACAATCTTCTGCTCAGAGGTATTCGAGATACTAAATTTGGAGAATTCACTATAAAGGACTTAATGCTCACGGGTGAAGAATACCCTGCAATAGTAGCAAATGATGGCAGACCGGACTTACTCATGTTTCCTCCAGTTTTTAGTACTTTACCCTTAGATAATATAATGAGAAAGGATGTGAGTGAAGCTCCAAAATTATTAGAATCACCAGAAAGTGAAAACAAAAGTGAAAAAGTTGAAATGATAAAATCAAGCAGTGCAACTGAGCCACAAACAACACTTCAGTCATCAAATACAGTTCAAATCTCAAATTCTACTGAACATGGAGATATTGAGCCTACAGAGGATTCTAGTGTTACCGTTTCTGCATCTGCATTAAATCAAGTGGTTGAATTCAGAATTCCTGATGAAATAGCCAATATCGATTTGGATGCAGTTTTGAAACAAAACAAACTTATTCTCTTTGGTGGAATTAATGGAATCTTAAAAAGAATGAAAGATGACAAAATAACGCCAAATGTAAAAACTTTAACGTATCTAATGCAACTAGTACCTCCTTCCACATCCGCAGAAAACGAAATAATGAAAATAGCGAGAGAGTCAAATGTTGAATTAGACATTGATTTTTATAATATGTTAATCAAAAAAAGAGGTACGCGTGGAGCTAGAAGTGATGCTAAGGTATTAACCATTTTTCTTTAACAAAAATGACTGTTAAAATTGTTTCATTTAATAATCTACGATTCTTTCAGGCCGTTCTAGACGATATTCACAGAGCTGATTTGAAGCCCAATATTGTGACGTTCGGCGTTTTGGCTATCTCTTGCCAAACGGCGTTTGAATGCAGAGAATTGTTAAAAACGATGAAGTCTATGGGACGCCCCATCAACAAGTACATCGCAACCACGATGATAAGTAATGCGATGGACAGAAGAGATTTTGGCTTCATTTTAGAAATGATGGATTACATGCACAAGAAGAAGATACATGTAGAAGAATTTACGTTTGAAAAGTTGGACGAGTTTCAACAGAAAATGACACAATTAGTAAAGGAAAAGGTACGTACAAATCATATAAGTTTGACAACGATCAATAGTTGTTTATTATTGAATATTTTACAGTTAAAATTAAATTATAGTAGGAAACGCACGAAAATATAATGCAAAATATTTTTTTAAATATGTATTACAAACTTAATGCAAAAACATACTTTATTTGAACTCCAAACATCTTTTGAAATGAATCTAGAATTCGTACGTTTTAAAACGTCTCTTAATGTACAATTAACAATTTTCGATACCCATTTAATTATATTCTTATCACGTACATAATAAATAATATATTTTTTGTTCAAACAGCATCCGGTGTCCAGAAGAGATAATTTCCAAACAGGCTTTTCCAAGTTCAATTTACGTTATAAGAGCTGGCAAGAGCAGATGGGACGTACAATTATTACAGAACGAGTATCGAAAGAAAAAAGGGCTCATCAACGTAATTATTAAGTTTTATGTATAATATAATACGATGAAAGATTCATTCATCTGTCTTTGCTATGTACATTGTTATTGTGTAATATAAAAATTTATCACACATTTCATACGAATTCATAAGTTTCGTAATTTTATCTTTATACAATAGTAATATTTTTAAAGTCTAATTTAAAACAGAATCCCTCCTAAATCCCAAAGTCATAACACATGGTCAATCGTTCAATTCACACGACTGTCGTTGATCATCGGTGCGTCACATTGTCATCATTATCGCATGTAGGGCGGACGGGTTTCCGGCACCCATGGTCTGCCGCGAGATCCCGCGACCACGGCGCGCGACGGCCCGGAGCCTCGGATGCTAATCTTGTTGTAGCCCGTCGGGCCGGTCGGTTGGGCGCCGCACGTCTCCAGCGCCACGAAGTCGTCGACGTGTAGCGACGGGGGTCGCGACGTGTTGGGCGGTCTGGATCTGAAGGGATCGGCGCCGCGACCGACGCCGACTCCGACGGTGTTACCACGCAACTGATTGGCGTACTGGCTGCGACCGCGCATCGGCGTTACTGTTGGTAAAAAGAAAACGAGAGGATTCAGGATTAAACGATGAAACGGTTGCAATGGAAAAAAAAATTTCAAGTAAAAATTACCGAAAGGCTGCTTGGTTTTTGCCGTCGGCGCTATGATCTGTTGCTTCTGCTCCCTAGAGTCCGAGCCGTCGTCCGACCTCTTGATCTGGCTCGCCTGGTGCGACGGTACCTTCGAGCAGACGCGTTGCGTCTCGGCGATCAGATTGAAATCGGCGGGCAGCAGCTCGGTGGCCAGGGCCAGCAAGTCCACGGTCTCCTGCGACTTGTTGCTCTGGGCCTCGAGCAGTATCTTGTGCGCCCGATGATCGCTCGGCGAGCTCGGCTCGATGGACCTCTGGGCGAACTGATTCAACAGGGCATCTGGCGGCGGTAGCAAAGGTTCCAGCATCTCCGGTATGGGCTCCTTCTCGTCCTTGTCCTCGGTCTCTTGCAGCTGCTCGACGAGTTCGGTGGCGAAGCGGATCTTGGTCAACGGATGATTCTCCGGCTCCCAGGACAGCAAGGTCGCGAGGTGTTGGATTCTCAAGCTCAATGTACGCTCCAAATCTCCGCTGCAGTTCACGAGGCTCTCGAGGAATTTCGCCACTAATTCTGGCAAAGCTTCGTTCTTTTCTTTGTCGCCTTTCTCCAGGACTTCTGTAAAAACAAACAACGCATTGATTAACGAGCTTTCGATAAAAAATACTAAATAATGAATTTGCTGTGCTCACCCTCCACGATGTAAAACAAGAGACTCTTCAATGCACCGGGCTTGTTCTCTAAACAACTCTTCACATGATACAGTCCGTAATTATGCTTGGTCAGAGTGAGCAACACGCCGAGGGCGCTCTCGACGACCTCGAGCGGATACTTGGAGGCTCCGGAGAGGATGTCGACGAGGGCCGCGACGATGCAGAGTAGCGGCTCCTTGCTGGGCACCGAGTGGGAGAGTCGCGTGTCGAGGCACTCGCTGGGCTCGGACTCGACGAGGCTGAGCCGATGGTCGCACAGGGTGGCGAACAGATCGACGAGCTCGCGCTGCACGTTGGGATCGCTGCTCTGGCGCAGACCCTGTGCCATCATCTCGATGACGGGCGGATACTTCTGGTCGGACTTGACCTGGGCGCGCGACGCCGGCGAGGTGAGGGTGAGCAGGGTGGCCTTCATGGGCGCGTGACGGGCCAGCTCGGCGAGCAGCGCCAGAATGGGTAGATGCTGCTCCAGGGGCTGAGCCACGCCGTCAAGGAGGCAGCGGCCAACGAGCAGGGCCGTGGGTGCCGCCAGGTCGCTGAGCTGTCGGCAGACCGCGGCGACGAGCCGCAAAAGCTCCGGGCACCAGCTGGCGCTGAGCAGTCGCAGTGTCTCCTGCAGACCCGCCGATTGCGCTTGCAGATGGGCCGACCAGAGCTTCCGGAGACCGAGGGCGCGCGGTCGTTCTCGCGCCGAGGTCGTCACCGACGACAGCACCGGCGGCAGCAGTCGGCTGAGCAGTTTCAGGCCGGGCGCGAAGTTGCACGGGGTGGAGACGACGATCTTGAGCACCTCGCCGAGCATACGCGTCCAGAGGGACTTGGCCACGTTGCCCGAACCGTCTGGATCCACGGCTTCGGTGAAGACCAGTAACGTCTCCACTATCTCGTCGGACAGAGCCCGAGCTGGCGGTTCCTTGATGGCGATGGCCTCGACCAGCAGGTAGATACTCAGCAGAGGCGTCACCGCGGTCAGATCCTTGAACTCGCTGCCGATGCACTTCATGAGACGCTCGAGCATGGCGCGCACGAGGCGTACGCAGGCCGTGAGCACGTCGACGAGCAGCAGGCGACGTTTGCGCGATGACAGGGCCGTGCGGTGCAGGGCCGGCTGCTCGTAAAACTGGCCGATGATCTCGAGGACGGACACGAGGGCCGACAGGCCGTCCGCGGCGAACACTTGCACCACGGCGTTGGGATACTTGAGCTCGACGTAAGGCTCGATGGGATCGACGTCGTCCTGCGAGGGGAAGGCCAGATGCTGGAGTATGCGGCAGGCCGCGATGAGCTCGCCGGGTAGACAGCTGGCCCGGTCGGCGTGCTTGCGCACGATCTCGACGAGGGAGGACACGTCGCTGCGGCTCCAGTGCGCGTAGGTCGCGGCGATATTCAGATGAGGCAGCACGTCTCGGGCGCAGGCTTGGCCGGACAGTTTGTCCAGAAGCTGGTTGGCGCGCGTTTGAAGAATGCCCACTCGGCTGGAGAAACGAATGACGGTGGCCAGTATCTCGGCGGCGAACTCCATCAGGTCTTCCTTGGCCAGGCTGTTTACGAGGATATCGACGAAATCGCCGATCGGCACCACGGCAACGATGGCCTCGAATCCCTCGCTGATCGCCAGATACGAGTGCAGTCGTCGCATCGACGTCCAGTCGTCGGGTTGATTCTGTATGGCCAGCAGACACTGCACGATTTGCAGCCGCCAGGCCAGACGCGAGCCCAGACTGCCCGGTTTGTCGTACTGCAACGCGGCCAGCATGAGCTTGGTGCTTCGCGACCTCTTCAGCAGGTACTTGAGGCCCTCCTCGTTGTCGCCCAGCAGCACGATGAAGCGTCGACAGGCCACGACGCAACTGGCGCTGGACTCGGGCGAGCACATGGCCAGTAGCAGGCGATCGATGAGCCTCCAATGATCGAAGTAGGCGATCAGGTGTTTTCGCGGGTTGCGGCTCTGCTCGCGCTCGAACTCCATGCGGGCGCTGGCGGGCAGATGACGTTTGGGCTGACCCATGAGGGTCGTCGCGTACGCATAGGCGTTCGTTAGTTCCTCGATTTCCATAACGGAGAGATCTTGCATTTCCGAGAGCAGCTCGTAGATGTGAATCTTGCGGATCATGGAGCTGAGGGCGTACTTGAGCCTGGCAAGTTTCGCGGTGTCCAGCATCTCCAAGCAGAGCTTGTACAGCTCGTTATCGGGCTTGGTGAACTCCTCCACTATTTTGGGACTGATCAAGCTTGCGTCGACGGATCTGATGGCGGCTAGTTTGACGGGTAGAGCGACGTTCTCTCTCATGCACAGAGACAACAGTCTCATCGGCGCCTCGACTTGCAGAAGGATGTCCGTACCGACGGATAAGCGACACAGAGCCTCGGCTAATCTTACGCCGACTTTAACGTGACGCACTTTATAGGCCGGTTGAGGCTGAGAACAGGCGAGCTCGGTGTTCAGTCCGATGTCTACTATGTTGGATAGATTTTTTATGTCCTCCTTGCTGAGTTGAATTTCTCCCAGAGTTGCACATAAACTCTCGCAATTGTGAACGAATGTTTCTTTTTCTTGTCCCGTTGAATTATTAAAATTAGAGACTGACTTTGAGAGCAATGCAATTGAATCGATCAATTTATCGATATTACTTCTGTCAACTTCTTTAACACATTCTTGATATTCTAATGCAAGTAAGTCGGGTCGATGAATAGCATACATTTCATCAATTTGCGATTCATCAATTTCAAACTCTAGCACTGGAGGATCATCATCAGCCATTACATCTTCGTCAGAAAGAATAGGCTCAAAAGGTTCAGCCTCAATGGTAGGTGTTTCAATAGGTTCTTCGGGCTCAGGCTCAGCTTCTTCTTCCTCAGCTGATATTGATTCCGGACTCAAAGATACCAAAGACTCTGCAGGTGGAGTTGAAGGTCTTTTGGTAAATTTGTTGGGAGATTCTTTCTTTTCACTATCTTCATCCCAAGTGTCTGATTTGGCTGGTTCTGCAGATGGTGTTCTAGTTGAATCAATAACTGGAATTTGATGTACTGGTGGAGAGGGTGTGGGTACTGCACATGCTTCTGGCTGTAATATTAATTAAGTTTGGACAAATTAACCTTTGTTGAAAATAAATAAAATTTAAAAAGTTAGCTTTAATACATACCGTAGCTGCAGGTGGATGAGGTGTGTGAGGAGAATGTGAAGAACGCGAAGACTGAGGAGTACGAGGGGGGTGAGGAGTATGTGGGGGATTAGCAGGATGAGCTTGTTTGTCATGAAACCATTCTGGTTCAGGCTCGGGCGCTGGACTGCTCTTTTTGACAGGCTCTTCTTTAACTGGTGATGGAACAACAACCGGTGTAGTAGTTGGAGCAGGTGGCTGAACTTCTTGAGGACTCGTGAGAGTTTTTGTTAATGTACCATAAACTGCCAAGGTGATGGTTGTGTACAATCCTCTTAAAACTAATCCATCTGTAGGCAAGTGCTTCCTATCGCACTCAAGTTGGATATTGATGTTTTGTTTATACTCCAAGCCACCTAAAGATTCAAACGAAGAAGCTCCAGGTTTGCTCAAGTCATTGACAAAAAATTCGATTTCAAACTGTGATGGATTGGTCGCTCTGAAAAGCATAAAATAGAGTTTGAAGAAAATTTGAGTGTACTCAAAAGCAAAGCAGTAAAATGTACTTACCCAAGCCTCACTCCGCCAGGAAAATCAGCCTGTACCCTTGCTCCCAGAGGTATGATGCGCACTTCACTTATATACACGGGTTTTGGAAACTGTACCAAATCCAAATTCAATTCCTGCAAAAAAAATCACAAACAGGTAAATAAAAAAATTCGAATGAGACTCAAACGTCGTGAAAATGTTTGGTTACGCACTTCGGATATTTCATGGGAAAAGGTATCGAAAAACAGCAACTCCGAATTATCCATGATTGCAGTCGAGCTGTTGTTCCAACAAACGAACGATTGTTTCAATTATCTTTCACGCATGTTATTTGTTTTCATTCTGTGTCGGCGACTCGTCGTTCCACAACGAAAAAATTAAAAGGGGACACGTTTTGGATTGTACACAGGCTCTCTCTATGATGCCTCGTTCGGCGTCGACGATAAACTGTATAAACTGTATATAATGATGATAATAATATGCCGAGAGCCGGAGGAATGAACGGCGTTTACGATAACTCTGGCGTCTGCGGCATTTATTATTCTTGGTTAGGTTTGCCCCGGCACGCTTGTAGAATGTGCTGCCTGCTGTAACGCTTTGGCGCAAGTCCGCGCAGTCTCGCGTGTGTAGTTGTAAACACTACACAAACACAGCAGTCAGCACCGGGCCATGCACGACGTCGTCTGCGATTCTCAAATAGTCTACTTTGGGCAAGATTGACTTGTTGTCATCGTTTGTTACGTTCGTCGAACGTTTGATTTGTTGCTCGCGAAATGGAGTACGAAGGCAGAAGACCCTGTCGAACGTGCACGGATTTCAAAACATGGAGAAAAAACATGGAAACGACCCAAGTAAATACTTTGTGTTCATTTTATTATGATGCAATACAAGAGTATGCAAGTGTCACATTGATGATGACTTAATTTTGCAGGACAACAAAAGCACAGGGACCAGCACGGATAACAAAAGTAACAACAAAAGTACCAGTGCAGACGTTACGGCGTCGCCAGCACGGAAAGATTGCCCCCTCGACCGGGACGAGCTGGGTTCAAACACTTGGTCATTTTTGCACACCATGGCCTCGCATTATCCGGACAATCCGTCGACGGAGCAGCGCAAGGACATGAAGACGTTTTTTCACCTGTTTTCGCAGTTCTATCCGTGCAACGTGTGCGCCGAGGATTTGCGCGATCAGCTGAAGCGATCGCCGCCCAAGACCGATTCGCAAAGTACATTGAGTCAGTGGCTCTGCGCGATTCACAACGAGATCAATGTGAAACTGGGCAAGCCTCAGTTCGATTGTAAATTGGTCAACGAGAGATGGAGAGACGGTTGGAAGGATGGCTCCTGTGATTGAGCTTTTCAAGCTCTAACCATAAGTATTTTTGAATAAGTTTACTTGATTGTTAATAATTGTTACAAAAAAGTACGCAACAGATTATTTGTAAATAAATGTACATTATTATATTATTTGTATTGAAAATTGTTTGTTTCAGTATGCAAGAAATATATATTTACAAGTTGTAAAATTTGACTAGCTTTTTACATGAATTTTCCTATTTTACACATTTACGTAATAGTTGAAACCATAGGTTGTGAATTTGTTACAGTAAAGTACCTCATGACTATGTGAGGTGATCTACCATTAGGCTCATAACTATTGCCTTGACCTTCTCCTGCAATTGGAACAACTTGAAATGTTCTTATATGAAATGGAAAATTGCTGTTTGCTGTCGATGGTCTTGTTACATAAAGAAACATGCAGTGACCAACAAACACAACCCACAATGAAAAACCTTTAACAACACTTTCCCGAACCCACTTGTCAACAAAGAATGTCATAGTGATTACCTGGAAAGAAAGAATTAATTAATGAACAAGGTAGATGCAAAATTAATTAATCAATGCAATAGTGAAATTTGTCAAAAAATGTAGCTTACCACTAGAGGCTGACATAAAAACCAGGCAGAGCCCAGCGACAGAAGAGAACCGTAGAAATGGAATTTGGCTGCTGCAGCTTTGCTGGTCTTGTAGCAGCAGGCGACAAACACCACCCAAGCCCATATTCTCAGAGCAATGAGTCCGTAACCAGGCGGCGACTCGTACAGATAGAGCACCAGACCAGGATCGAAGGCCTCCGCTTGATATATGAACAGCAGAAGCTGGAGCGAAACGGTGAGACCGATGAAGAGGCTGAGTCGCCAGCTCTGCACGGGGGTGAGCACGCTCTTGGTGACGGTGTAGCCGAGCGACATGAGCAACAGCAGGCTCGTGAAGCACGTCTCCGAGACGGCCTCCAGGAGATTTCCGGCCAGATGAAAGCCGTGCAGATCGTATCCGTAGAGCGCCCGGGTGACGTAACTGTAGACCTGAAAGAGCAGACCCCAGAGCTGGGTCAGCAGGGACATCATGAACAGCTTGTAGGTGACGTGCAGCAGCCGCCTGGTCTTCAGCTGGGCCGCGACGTAGATGCTGAGGCCGAACAGCACCACGTAGAAGGCCGAGCCCACTATGAGCTCGGGAAGAATGTCTGTACGGATGCGAAGAGAAGAAAATAATTTAAATAATAATCGGCATCGTAGATGCATAACGCCGGTCACTCACAGAACTCATCGGCGGAAAAATGCTCGCGCCAAAAGTTGCCGGGCTCCGCGTTGGTCAGCGATATCCAGTAGGACACGTTGAGGCCGAGATCCGAGTGACAGTCGGAGAGGGCGATGAACCACCATCTCGGCCTGGCCGATCTGAACTCCCGATAGCTGCTGCAGCGCACCGCGGCCTCGCTCTCGTTCTTGCCCGTGGCAGGATCGGTCCCATGGGTGAAGTAGCAGCCGGAGATCTGGGTGTAGCTCGTGTGCGGCGACAGCGACACGATCTGGCCGAGGTCGCGTCTCAGCACCGACTCGCGCTCGAGGCACGTCTTGTTGGACGGATAGACGGCGGGCCACTGCTGCGGCGAGTCGTAGTAGAGCAGCAGATTCGCCTCGGTGTACTTGTTGTGGATGATGAAGTCGTACTGGAATCGGCCCTTCTCCGAGAGGAAGCAGAATCGCGCCAAGAAAGCCCAGTTCTATCATAGCCGCAAACACATTCAGTCGCATTCAATATAAATTACGTTAATATAATATAATTATCTTATAGCTGTCGCTCGGGAGCTTACTTGGTAAGTGGTCAAGTGGCCGGACAGTATCTTGGCGTCGGCCACGGGCGAGCCGATCCGCAGCGCCGCGAGCGCGACCAGGACGAGGAGCGACGATTCAAGCGCGGGGCAGTAAAAACGGCGTCGATAACGATCGGCACGAGGAGGATGATGATGCATCATCACTGCTCGTATCGTTGTAAAAATTATATCCTCCGTTAAGGTGATGGTAATGGTGGTGGTGGTGGTGGTAGTTGCGGCAACAAGTCGTCATGACGGCGCGACTTATACTCCTGCCATGCACGGTGTGCTAAGCTTTATATCGTTGTATTATTACTACCCTGCCAGCAACAGCAGCAGCAGCAGCGACCAATGTGTAAGGCTCGCGGAGCTCTGTGCACTGCGCGGGGGCTAACTGTCTAAGGGAATCGATATTCAACGTTGCTGTATGTACACCTACCTGTGCCACACACTCACGACACATCGAGCACATAGTACATTTTGCGTATCGTATACGTATGTAGGTGAAATAGCCCTCGAGGACTATTATAATATCAGTCCAGCGTGTACATACGTACGATTTGCATGTATAGAGGGAGAGATCGAAATCGCTGACTGAGGTCGTCTATAAGCCCGAGGCGCGCGAATCGTTACATATATATATCGTACATCCGCGATAGGCGGCCGCCTCTGCATGTACGAGCTCTGTGCAGACAAGTGGCCAACTTTATATCACAGCCTATTGTACATTCATGATTTCTCATAGGTAGAAGCTATGCCCTCTTATATGTGTGCCGCACGTGTAACACACACTGCACCAGACAGTTATACTTGTAGTGAATTAGTTATAGGTCAGATTTCTGGAATTTATATAGAATCGTCGTACTTCCGCTGCACGTTCGAATCAATTATTCATGAGCATAGCTGTGACTTATACGTTTAAAAGTGTATTATGTCACACGAAATTTCGTCTCGGTGCGGTGACGCTTTTTCTTTCAAATGTGCCTCGGATTCATCAGATTAATTATATCATAAAGAGAATAGAGAACTATTTCATCGGGTGATTTTAAATCCTGAATTTGAAATCATTCATCACGTGATCGAGCGCAGGTGAAAAACACGATGGACCTCGAGATGGACAAAAATTTCTCGTCACTTCTGGATGAATCAAGGCTACATACAACGATATATGCTTTCTCTATCTTGAAATACAAAAGTAGGAACGCGAGTTATTCTTTCGACTCCATTCCCGAGACGATGATAAGAGAAAGTTATTTTATTCTTTCGGGGGAGAATTGCTTAATACATGAGTCGACAGGTATACAGCTACAGGGATTCGTCGCGACGACTAAAGTCGGTGTAATAAAAATAATAATAATAACAATGCGCGATTAGCAGAATGGTATTGTATAGTTGCTAGGGGGTTGCACGAATGTGACGCCTATACGTGAACTACAAAAAAATTCAAAGAACAACTATAAATTGTACCAACGCGATAGAACTTTTTCAAATCCAAGCGTTGCGATTATAATACATAGGGTACACCTGCCTTATTCGAGCTATACGCGATAATGTAGTCGGCAAGGCAGTTACCTATCGATAGATCAAGTTTTGGCGCCCGGCGCGGGGTTGCTTCGCTGCTCCGATTTTGCGCAGACACGACAACACCACCACCCAACCCGACCGTATTCTCGTGATATATCTATATCGATAACAGGTACTACCTACACAAATCCGCATCATCGCACGCGCTTAGCAGTTGTAATAGTAGTAGTAGTAGTAGTAGCAGCAGCAGCAGCAGCAGACAACCCAGTCTCCTCGTTTCTCGCAATTCTCTTCGGCTCTCTCTTTCTCTCTTGTTAGTGCGAAAAACCGCCCGTTTTGCGCCGCTGCAGCACGACGACACTACGAAGAACTGCGAAGGTTACTTTATTGTGTATACAGCCCTGCTGCCGTGTTGTTGTGTGTCTGCCAGACAGAGAGTACTACAAGCTCACCGCGGCAATCCAACAACGTGCTGCAACGCGAGAGACGGCTGCAGAAATAACAACAACAACAACAACAACAACCCCTACGTGTTGATCTCACTCGCTCGCTGTTATTTTCTGTTTTCGTTTTCTGTTATAGTTTTGCAGTGCGAAGTGGTGCGCGGATACAGAGACACATGCGGAAGCCGGAGTTCCCCCGATAAGTAATTTCGTTGTTAATCGTATAGTGTGTCGCGTGCACGCGATCGATTCTCGCACCCGCAGCAGTCGCCCCCGTTGTGAGTGTGTGTGCGTGTGTCACGTCGTCGAGTTAGTGCGTGCTTTTTCGTATACATGCTTATAATAAATAGTTGAGAAACGAGACTCGAGAGTTAGTGTAAAAATGGAGACGACGAACAATTCTACGTCGTCGTCGACGACGAGCAATAATGTCAGTATTAAAAGTGAACCGAACAACGACGAGGACTCGGCGAGGATGCCACCGCCGTCGACGACACCCGGATCGGGAAACAGCAACAATGCCTCGTCGACGGATTCGAGCACGCCGCAGGTCGTCACCGTTCGAAAAATTCGACACCGGTAAGTGCTTTGCACATCTATGGCTCTCATAATCTCATGTACGCGCGACTCGTCATTTATTAGCGTTATCTCGCTCGCGTTATTCTATTCTAAGTGACGACGAGAGCTGGCGCTTTACATCGCACACTTACGCATGTAAACATCTATCTATGTGTATATGAATACAACTACTATACTATAGCACGAGCGAATTTATCAGGTAGGTGTATCGATGTGTGTGTTATATACGACTAAATAGGCCAGCATCAATCGAAGTGTACATAAGAAAGCATGTGCTTTTGTCAGGGAGAGTGAAAAGCTCTACCGCTGCTGCTGCCGAGAGAAGCGCAATTGACCGGCGTGTGCTGCACGTCGGCCTACACTATATTCCTCCTCGTGTTTTCTACTGCTTCTGTCAATACTACACAAGACATAGCAGCAGCAGCATGAGCAGTAGGGGCGCTCGTAGTCGCGTGCGATACGTGCCTCATTTATTATTATACGCACTCACGGCATTAGAGCGTTGGTGCTTTTCGATGACGCCTTTTTTTTTTACTTTAACTCTATAATCTTTATAATCTCTATAGAAACGAGCCACTGCCGTATATAATGGCGTAATACGTACCACACGTGCAAAACCCGATCATCGAACGACACAATATGTGCGGAGGTCAATTACCTCTCGCTGTATAAAGCTGTTTTGTACATTTATGAAATATACATAAGAGTGTGCGTACACTTATAAATTATCACGCATCAGTGGATATCTACACTTATCAGCGATAGAATCGAGTGTACGTAGGAAGAAGATATAACACTGCTGGGGAGACGTCGTATATCCGCGAGCATGTGCTCTCTTGCATGCCACGCGAGCCGCAGCGGAGCAGATACATCGCGCGCGCGCGCGAATTTCTCGCCTCGTTATAAGATACACGCCGAGAAGTGCCCGGAGCCGGGCAAAACAATAGTCGTACCGCTATATGACGATACACATACCTAAAGGTAATTACGCGCTGGTGTAACGCCGCGTGCGTGTAAGCGTGTGTATGTGTGCGATGTAGCTCCGCGAAGCTGGTCACAGCGCACATTATGTGTTGGTATAAGGTATACCTATATCGAGCCCGATGGCCTGACGACCAGCTCAACCAATGGCGAGGCTCTGATTCGGTCTTTCGAGCGTTAGATCGCTGCTTCTCTCTCTCGGGCAGGCCCCCACTCCCCGCTGCATCTCCTTCTCGTTCTGTACAAACATATCAACTTCCATGTATACCTTTTTTCTCTCTCTCTCTCTCTCTCTCTCTCTCTCTCTCTATCGTCGTTATTATATTAATTTTGTCGTAACCATAATTTTCTGGAAAAAAAGAGAACTATCTATACATGCATACATCGTAATAGCGCTCGGAGTTCGACAAACTTTTGCGCTACTACTATGCTCAAGTAGCAGCAGAGAGGAAACAAATTAGCGATTTCTGCAAATCATTTTTTGTACGCTGCACGCGAGTAAGAGACCTATATACCAACACGATGTGCCGCAATCGACGCGTCGTGCAGTGTGCATTTCAAAAAAATAATAATACCTGCTACGTGGTATTGGAGACAGATAGACGACGGATAAAGATGAAAAATCTAGATGAAAGTCGGAGCAAAGAACACGTCACGATACGGTGTGTAGTAGCAGCCAGCAGCGATGCTGCTGCAGCTGCTTCGAAGCGTACACAACGTCAAACATTAGACACGAATAGAAGTGCCGCTGCCAAGGAGGAGAAAGAGCAGCGGTATGCAAGCTTAGTCAGTAGTAGGCGGAGGAGAGAAGAGACCGAGGGGAAATATCAGCTGAGCACGTGTAGCGTCGTGCTGTATTCGTCTGAACTCTTCTCTCTCTCTCTCTCGCCGCTGCTGCCGTTTCTGCGTGCAAGTCTCGCCGCGCATGCCGTGTACAATATCGTCTATGGTATATGGGCTCTCTTTCTCTCTCTCTCTCTCTCCTGCTGCCGCTGCTGCTGTTGCAGACGCACTCGCCTGACTCTCCTTACGCTCGCACACACAGAGCGACATATTACAGAGTTTTTAAGTTTTACGTACAGTCAACGCGCGGTGTGCCCACTGCCGCTCTTCGATACGTAGATTTTTCATAAGTTATACGTGTACCAATTGGCTTACGCACACTAGAGCCACATCTAGCGACTGTATCTCGATATATAAACCTTGGCAACCTAACGGCAACGCGCATTAGTTGCCGCGTGGTCCTTCATGCCGTAGCAGCGCACCTTCAGCTGATTCTCCAACGCACGACTACACGAGCCGAGCAGTGCCGATTTTTCGCTCCCTGACGTTTGGCTCAGCGAGAGAGTTTCGATTATTATTATTCATTAATTTGTGTCACGCGTGTTGTGTGCTCGTGTGAACAGTGACAATTATATATCGTGCATATCGAGTGCAAAGAGTCTCAAGCGACCGACGAGTGCGTAGCAGAGCTCGGGGAGAGAACGAGTTGTGCTAGCCCACGTCGACGAAAAGAAGGTATAATAAAGAAGTGTATAGAGAAAGAAAGAAGAAAAGAGATCGTGCCGCATGGAGCCATGCCCCCGTACAAAAGAAAAGGGCAACATGGTATATATTTTTATTTATTTTTATTTTTATTTTTTTTGTTTCTCTAACGAATCGTCCAGTGCGCGTTGGTGATCGTGTGCCTCGAATCACTCTCTATTAAATAGCGGAAAGAAAAAAAAAAAGAAAACCAGTGTACGCGTGGTGCGCGCTCACACGACAAGAGTATAAGTCAATTCACAGTCAATTCAGTAGCGAAGTGCATCGGCAACGTAGCTCTTCGATTAAATCTCTAACAAAAAAATCGTTGTCAATAAAATTGGACGCACGCTAGTGAGGCGCGTGTATGTGTAAGTGCCAATCATCTCATGTATTTATCTATATTCCATGTATATGTCTCGGTAGTATGCGTTACGATGCACAGGTTGCATGCGTGCATATATAACGCGTAATATGCGCACACGTATAATATACGACGACGACGCGAGAGAGCGCGGCAGCGGAGGAGGGGCCGAGCGCGACGACTCTTAACGGACAGACTCTGCGGCGTGTCCGGCAGCCGATCTACGCGGGGCGCGCGACGTTACACGATGTACGATATGTTGTACCTCCGGTATATTGCACTCATACATGTATAGATACAGTATCGGCGTTTTTTCCGTTGGCGGAGGCGCCGCTATCCGCGTGGCACTGTATATACGACCGGGAATCGTCGTCGCGCCACGCGACGTCCATTACACCTATTAGACGGAGACGATTGGCTAAGTAATTTCCGGAATCTTTCGATCGCGCGATCGTAATTGAAGAAGGGGAGAGGGGGGGACAGAGCAAAGAGAAAAGTAAAATTTCGAGAGATTCATTTCTAATCGATTCTAACGATCTCTCTCTATTTATCTCCGTCTTTTTTCCTCTCGTTCGCGTATATATTATGGCGCGATAATTTTCGGTATATGGCCTACGCACGGCAATGTAATACTACCACAACAATGGAAAGAAAAAGAGAGAAGAAAAAAATCGTCAAACGCTCGCGCGCGCGCGTATGTACGATGACGTCGGTATGTGTATTATACGGTTCCCTGTATGTATGAGTGCACCACTAGTACCGTGCTGACTGCTGACGCTGCATCGTATTATAGCGGCGGTATACACATAGCTCCGCTCCGCGTATATAAGTACTCGGCGCGCACACAGTAGCTCCGCGGCGTTAAAATATATTACGGCGTGTAACGCGTAAGCAGAGTAGTGTATTAGCACAGTGTGCAGATCCCGCCGACGTGTGCAGCAGCAGCAGCAGCAACGCACGAGTCGACGAGTCGACCTCTGACCCTTGTTCCGTCAATGTGTGCAGTGTAGTGGTAGTGTAGCGGTGTACATATATAAAACCGTTTGTGAACGCGTCAACAACGTCCGTCCGTCCGTTCGGCTCGAGCCATCGGAATATATATGAAGAGATCGCGAGGCGTCGTGAGCTTTAGAATTTAGTCGGTATCGGGGTCGCTCGCAGGTCGTATCTAGTCGTCGTAGTCGTCGTCGTTATAAACGTGTGCCATAAAGTGAGCCAATACAAGCAACAACGAGCCCTCCCCAGGCTGATATACATATACTGCGCAGAGGACAGAGAAAAATTGGCAGTGCCACCGAGCACTGGTTATGATACGCCGGCTAATTGACAATATATTCGGTATAAATATAATCGAGACAAAAATTAATAACAACGACAATTTAAGTTAAGTAATGTGAGGAAGGTGGAAAAAAGCTACAATTTTTGCATTACTCTATTGAAGGTGCTCATCGTCAATTAGGACCAACTACGTACTCCGGACCGGATTCCCTGTCGTCGGTTTGCGAGGGAGACGAAGGAAACCCTGACGGAACCGAAACATCCCCGGAGTCGGAACAACTGCAACTGCAAGAACTGCAGCAGTCGAAACAGGAACAACAGGAACAACAAGTAGGACAGGAAGAGCAAAAAGAGGAACAGGAAGAGCAAAAAAAGGAACAGGAAGAGCAAAAAGAGGAACAGGAGGAAACAGAGGTCGTCGCGGATAGTCCCGATTCCGAAACTACCTCGTTCAAATCGACCACCGAGGAACCGGCACGCAAAGACTCGACCACCAGTACCGATACTCCGCCTCATTACGATTCGGACTCGGGAGGCTCCGTCAAGTCAAACCTTGACCCAGACGACGACCAAACGTTGTCGATTTGTCAACGACGACCCTCTTACCCATTCGAGCTTGGCCCGTACATCGTCAAGCATTCGAGGCGGGGTTACCGACCCAGGGGCTTGCTGAGACTCACAGGATCTACGAGACAGGTCGACGACGACAGCACCGACACCGCCGCCCCCACCGCCCCCACCGCACCAACCGCACCAACCGCACCAATGGCGACTTTCACCGTGGGCGAGGAGCCCAGCGACGAGGGCGACCAGCTGGCCGCCATGCGCGAGGAGGAGGACGAGGCAGCGCGCGAGAATCACGACAGCTTCCCTACGATGAAGCAGCAGCAGCCGTCGCCCTACGGCAGCAGCGCCGACCTGGTTGCCCAGGCCAAGGACCAGCAGTACATCAACGGCCTTACCGAGCGCCGACGACGGCTAAGGTACAATTGGTGGGGATATGCTATTTCATTTTGACTAACAACAGCAACAACGGCAACCAGAAATGCGAAAACCGCAACAACGAATAACAACGATTGCAAAAGTAAAAAAAAAATAAAAAATAAAAAAGAATAGAGAAAATGAGGGAACCAGTTTCGATAGCGATGCGTTTGCGCTCGCGCCATGACTGGGCATTTTTTGCGTTAAACTTTTAACTAACGCCACGCGCATGCATGTGGTCGACGCGCGAATACGGGGAAACTTTTTTTTTTTTTTTTTTTGAAAGAATGTATAATGTATAAACGCTGCTATTGCCCTTGAATTTTGCCGGACTTTAAAAAAATTTCTGCATCCAGAGATTATTACGTTAATCGCTTTGACCTTGAAAGATTGAAGTTATTGCACGTCTGATTTTGATACGTACGTACACGAGGAGTCAGAGATACTTTTTTTTCTGAAAGCCGATCTATAAATATTCCTTCGATTTACAGAAGATATTGATAACGTTATTAGGCGCGCGCGCTGCGAGTAAAATATTCCGATAAAGTATCGCGCGAGCTAGCCAAGTTTTTTTTTTCAATTCTTTCCCAAGTTCAAGGCTACTCGATGCGCGCAAAGTATCGTTTCGATAAATCGTTTAGAGAACGCCAAAATTCAAGGACACGAGTACGCTACAGAAATCATACTTTTCTAGTTGGTTCTGTGTCCCGAAATCGTAAACTAACATAAATAGTATTGGGAAGTAATGCGAGAGGTGGGGGTAAGCATGGTCTCCATGTATCAAAGAAAATAACACATAAAGTGTCTCCTACAGCCAAGAAGCATTAGTTCCCAATAGAGGGCATGTGTCTCTCTGAGCATACATTTTAGAGTGCTCGGAGAGAGAGAATTAGAAAAAAACTAATAATGAAATTCATTGCTGTGGGAATATTTTTTTTCTCGCTACGGGCTAGACGCCCCGCATTACGCTCAAATGAAATTTCTACACGACGATGCGCTTTTCAAAAAACGAAAGTCAAAAATAACACGGCTGGCTATCGAAGAGAGACAGAGAGAAGAAGGAGGAGAGGAAGAAAGAGAGTGAGAAACGTTAGAGAGAGACAAGCTCTCGTGCATCGAACGATGTGTGAGCTGATGCTGCTCCACTTGGAGGGAAAAACGAATTTCGAAAGATCGAACCCCTCTCTACGGATGCTGTGCTCCCGATCGGTTATAGTTTTTTTTATATATAATAATACATAACGGGCATAAATCAACGTCGTCGAGAGATGCATCGTAAGCGATTCTCTCTGCGCGCGCGTCTTACATAATTGTAGTTTTTCCTGGTATCTATTAAATATAGAAGCATACGATACGCGTTTGTGCGTGCGTAAATACATTCGAACACATGCTCGCGCCTGACATTTTTCGAGCCAAGCGCAGCTGCCGCGCTAAACTGTACGGAACTACACAGACGTCATAATCGATAAGATTAGAAAAAAATCTAGTATTACAACTTGAAAATATCTCTATTATAAAACTTGGAAATCGGACGAGCGAGCGAGAGAGTCGCGCGAGCTTGTTCGCGATGATGATTATGATAGATACATGTGTCACGTTTGTTCCCGCGAGAGAGATATGCTTTATCACCTTCTCAAATTTTCGTTACAGAGATCGCGTGATCGCGTTCTAATACACTTGTTGGTCGCATCGTCGTATTTATCACGGAGAGAGGAGGGGAGAAAAACGCGCGAGGGAAAATAACGAAAAAGAAAAAAATGAGAAAGAAATTTCGAAACGACGCACGAAAGTTCACCTTGAGAAAAAAGTGGCCCTCTACGCTATATATACATTACAGAAAGGTGTAATGAGCGCCGCCGCTGCGCGATTACGAAACTCGCCGTACACAAACGAGCGCGTTTACAAAATCCGAATATCATTACCTCGCGATTGTCGCGTTAAAAATTCTTCTAGCGACCGCACTTGCTCGAGTTAGAAAATCAAAAAAAAAAAAAAAAATTCTTCGATGTCCGCAGCTAGACGCAGCTAGATGAAGTGGCGATAGACCGTGATATGTATTACACGGCTTATCGTGGTTACAATGATAATAATGATAATGATAATTAGAAAAATCGTTAGATTCAGCCCGCCCGCGTATGATCGTACCCATTATGCTAGTTGAATAATAATTAATTGTAATGGAAGTTTCACGATAGTTCGTCGCGCGTCATCTTTATATATTTGTATAACGTCAATCAGAGATCGTTTATAAGATTGGCACAAAAAAATCGGCTGTATCGAGGAGCAAAAACAACAAAAAAAAAGGATAAAAAAATAAGATTCGCGCGCGCCAGGAAGACTCTCAAAATATCCCGCAGTCGCATTTATATATAGGTAGCAAAAATACGCGCGCGAGTCGTGGCCGCATGCCTCGCAGGAGAGTGAAAATACTTCACAGCGGACACGAGAGCATGATTATTACACACCGACGTATATAGTGGGGGAGTCGTGTGTGTACGTGCATATCCATGTGAGAGCCTGGCACACTGACTGGACTCTGCTGCTGTGCTACTGCTGTGTGTATTAAGCACCTCTCCACATACACCTTCCTCGCGCCGCGCGAGTCATCGTCGTCGTCGTCGTCGAAATATATACATGCCGAGACGCGAAGAAGTCATTCAGTATAGGTAGAGTTAGTCGCGGACGTCGTGGTTAAAGTGCGCGTCGTCATCAAAATTATCGACGCAGATCGTGCGCGCGTAACACACACAAACACACGGCGATGAAGCGAATCAAACGATTCGTCCTGGCCGAGAGCGGCGAGAAGGATCCGATCTGGAAGAGTTCGGACAATCTTCAGGCTGGCCTGTCGCGCATGAACAGCCTCGAGGGCACCGTAACGACGAATAATGCCACTAACGAGCACAGCACCACCTCCGATTCCTCTTCCTCTTCTACGTCTTCGTCGTCCTCCTCTTCCGGCCTTACCGATGTTAACAAAGAAGAGCAACCGAAACAACAACATCAACGAACGCAGCAAGCGCATCAGCAGCTACAGCATGCGACAATGACGTAATTTTTTTGTATACCGATCGTTGAAAAATAACACGGACTGGTTAAAGTGTCTATTTAATAATAAACATAATTGTGTATAATGCGTATAACACACACATCATTTAGTGTATATAAAATAATATATAAGTCTAACAAGTCATTTTTTATAAAAAAAAAGAAACATCTTCATGCACGCGCGTGTGTCTTGACTCACGCACAACCTTAAGCTCGGTAAATAATACGATTTTTTTTCCTCCTTCGTCTATTGCAGGCCGAGCATGTCTCACGGCACGGTGATGATCCAGGCACTGAAGACCGAGAAAGATTTCACGATCGCCACGCCCGAGGAATTTGTCCGTCGTTTCGGTGGTACCCACGTCATTAATAAGGTAAAAACCAAAACAAATTTTCAAATAATAATAATAAAAGATTTTCACTCGGTGTACATACACACACACACACATATTACCATTACGTACTCGTGGAGCATTCTTTATTTTCTCTTTTTTTTTCGCCGCGTATATGAGGCCGCTCGCGCACTTGTTGCTACGTCGTGTGGCAGCCCCACTTCTCTATCCATAAAATTCAAGCGGGCCTCCTTTCTCTCTTCGCGCGTGTATAATGCTATATGTGTTGGAGCATAAGCATGAACGCTCGGGATCGGTAGCCGCGGCGGGCTCTCCTTGCAACAACGGCATAAGTTAAATAACGCGCGAAAACTTCCAAACGTCGTCACCGCAACAACGTACTTGAACTTAAATATATCTTACGTTGCGCAAAGACACACAAAAAAAAGTCAAATTAAGCGCGAGCAAATTATTACAAGAGATAATTGCTCTTCGTGTTCCGCCATGCGCGCCGATCGATCGATCGATCTTAAATCGCGATCACGCAATAACGATCTCATTACAATATATAGGCGATGACTATTAATAATGAAATGATTGCAGGTGCTGATCGCCAACAATGGCATCGCCGCGGTCAAGTGCATGCGCTCGATCAGGCGCTGGAGCTACGAGATGTTCAAGAACGAGCGGGCGGTGCGCTTCGTCGTCATGGTCACGCCGGAGGATCTCAAGGCCAACGCCGAGTACATCAAGATGGCCGACCAGTACGTGCCCGTGGCTGGTGGCCCCAACAACAACAATTACGCCAATTACGAGCTGATCTGCGACATCGCGGTGCGCACCCAGGTGCAGGCCGTCTGGGCCGGCTGGGGTCACGCCTCCGAGAATCCCAAACTGCCGGAGCTGCTGCACAAGCGCAACGTCATCTTCATCGGGCCGAGCGAGCGCGCCATGTGGGCGCTCGGCGACAAGATCGCCTCGAGCATCGTCGCCCAGACGGCCGACGTGCCGACTCTGCCCTGGTCCGGTAGCGGCCTCAAGGCCCACTACAGCGGCAAGAAGATCAAGATCACCTCGGATCTGTTCAAGAAGGGCTGCGTGCACAGCGTGGACGAGGCCGTCGCCGCGGCCGCCAAGATCGGCTACCCGGTCATGATCAAGGCCAGCGAGGGTGGCGGCGGCAAGGGTATTCGCAAGGTCGAGAGCCCCGAGGCCCTGCCGGCTCTGTTCCGCCAGGTACAAATGGAGATCCCGGGCTCGCCGATCTTCATCATGAAGATGGCCCAGGGCGCGCGCCATCTCGAGGTGCAGCTGCTGGCCGACAACTACGGCAACGCCATCTCGCTGTTCGGCCGCGACTGCTCGATCCAGCGCCGCCACCAGAAGATCATCGAGGAGGCCCCGGCCGTGATCGCCTCGCCCGAGATTTTCGAGGAGATGGAGAAGGCCGCCGTGCGCCTGGCCAAGATGGTCGGCTACGTGAGCGCCGGCACCGTCGAGTACCTCTACGAGACGACCGGCAACTACTACTTCCTCGAGCTCAACCCGAGGCTGCAGGTCGAGCATCCCTGCACGGAGATGATCTCCGACGTGAATCTGCCCGCCGCCCAGCTGCAGATCGCCATGGGCATACCGCTGCACAAGATCAAAGACATCAGGCTGCTGTACGGCGAGTCGCCCTGGGGCGACAGCTCCATCAGCTTCGAGCAGCCGCGCCACAAGCCCCAACCCTGGGGCCACGTCATCGCGGCGCGCATCACCAGCGAGAATCCCGACGAGGGCTTCAAGCCCAGCAGCGGCACCGTGCAGGAGCTCAATTTCCGCTCGAGCAAGAACGTCTGGGGCTACTTTAGTGTGGGCGCTTCGGGCGGTCTGCACGAGTTCGCCGACTCCCAGTTCGGCCACTGCTTCAGTTGGGGCGAGACTCGCCGCGAGGCCATCCAGAACCTGGTCATCGCTCTGAAGGAGCTCTGCATTCGCGGTGACTTCCGCACCACCGTCGAGTACCTCATCGTGCTGCTGGAGAACGAGGCCTTCCAGAACAACACCATCGACACGGCCTGGCTCGACTTCATGATCGCCGAGCGCGTCCAGAGCGACAAGCCCGACGTGATACTGGCCGTCATCTGCGGCGCTCTGCACATCGCCGACCGCCAGATCAGCATGTCGTTCGGCTCGTTCCAGACGTCCCTCGAGCGCGGACAGATCCAGGCGTCCAACGACCTCGACAACATCGTCTACGTCGAGCTCATCAACGACGGCTTGAAGTACAAGGTCGAGGTCGTCAAGTCCGGCCCCAACTACTTCTTCCTGGTGATGAACGGCTCGTACAAGGAGGTCGAGCTGCACCGACTGGCCGACAGCGGCCTGCTCATATCCTTCGACGGCTCGAGCTTCACCACGTACATGCGCGAGGAGCTCGACCGCTACCGCATCGTCATCGGCAATCAGACCTGCATCTTCGACAAGGACAACGATCCGTCGCTGCTGCGCAGTCCGTCCGCCGGAAAGCTCATCGGCTATCTGGTGGAGAACGGCGGCCACGTCGAGGCCGGACAAGCCTACGCCGAGATCGAGGTCATGAAAATGGTGATGAGCGTCACCACGCAGGAGTCCGGCATACTGCGCTGCACCAAGCGACCCGGCGCCGTGCTCGAGCCCGGCAGCATGCTCGCCACCCTCGAGCTCGACGATCCCAATCTGGTGACGCGCGCCCTGGACTACACCGGCCGATTCCCCGGACCCGTCAATCCCGTCGTGCCCGAGCGTCTCAATCAGCTGCACGCCAAGTATCGCGCCGGCCTCGAGAACTGCCTGGCCGGCTTCTGTCTGCCCGAGCCCTACCATCTGCCGCGTCTGCGCGAACTCGTCGAGAAGTTCATGGGCTCGCTTCGCGACCCAGCTCTACCCTTGCTCGAGCTGCAGGAGGTCATGGCCAGCATATCCGGCCGCATACCGCTCGCCGTCGAGAAGAAGATCCGCAAGCTCATGACGCTGTACGAGCGCAACATCACCTCGGTGCTGGCCCAGTTCCCGAGCCAGCAGATCGCCGCCGTGATCGACGGCCACGCCGCCACCCTGTCCAGGCGCTCCGAGCGCGACGTCTTCTTCCTCACCACTCAGGCCATCGTCCAGCTCGTCCAGCGCTACCGCAACGGCATACGCGGCCGCATGAAGGCCGCCGTGCACGAGCTGCTGCGCCAGTACTACACCGTGGAGTCGAACTTCCAGCAGGGCCACTACGACAAGTGCGTCTCGGCCCTGATCGAGAAGCACCGCGACGACATGGCCACCGTGGTCGGTACGATCTTCAGCCACAGCCAGGTGCACAAGAAGAACGTCCTCGTCACCATGCTGATCGATCATCTCTGGGCCAACGAGCCCGGTCTCACTGACGAGCTCGCCACCACCCTGACCGAGCTCACGAGCCTCAATCGACAGGAGCACAGTCGCGTGGCTCTGCGAGCCCGTCAGGTGCTCATCGCTGCTCATCAGCCGGCCTATGAGCTTCGCCACAATCAGATGGAGTCAATTTTCTTGTCGGCCGTCGACATGTACGGACACGACTTCCACCCGGAAAATCTACAGAAGCTCATACTGTCGGAGACCTGTATTTTCGATATCTTGCACGACTTCTTCTACCACACCAATCGTTTGGTCTGCAATGCTGCCCTTGAGGTAAATATCGACAGTCTCGCTTATACTATTTCAATCGTTTCTTTAAAACTCATTGAACTAACATTAATTGTTTTTCTATTCGATAGGTATACGTACGACGCGCCTACATCAGCTACGAGCTCACGTGTCTGCAGCACCTCGAGCTATCGGGAGAACTGCCCATCGTGCACTTCCAATTCTTGTTGCCAACCAATCATCCGAATCGCCAGAGTTCGCAGACGGTCGACCAGCGCACCGGCGCCATGGCCGCCTTCAAGGATCTCGCCGAGTTCTCCAAGTACTCCGACGAGGTATTGGATCTGCTGGATGATCTGTCCTCACCTAGCTCGATATCTGCGCGCGTGCTCGAGGCCGTGGAGGCCGCCAACCTCAGCGAGTCGCGTCACAGCACGTCCATCAACGTCGAGCAGCCGACCTCCACCAGCAGCGAGGCCGCGGCGCTGGCCGCCGTCCAGGAGAAGCCCAAGGAGCCCGTGCACATTCTCAGCATCGCCGTCAAGGACGAGGAGAGCCAGGACGACGCGGCGCTCGCGCGCAAGTTCGGCGACTGGTGCGCCACCAACCGCGAGGAGCTGCTCACGCGCGGCATTCGTCGCGTGACCTTCGCCGCGCTCAAGAAGCGCCAATTCCCCAAGTTCTTCACGTTCCGCGCCCGCGACAATTTCGTCGAGGATCGCATTTACCGTCATCTCGAGCCCGGCTGCGCCTTCCACATCGAGCTCAATCGCATGCGTACCTATGACCTCGAGGCGCTGCCCACCTCCAACCAGAAGATGCACCTGTATCTCGGCCAGGCCAAGGTCGCCAAGGGCCAGCCCGTGACGGACTATCGCTTCTTCATACGCTCGATCATTCGCCATTCGGACCTCATCACCAAGGAGGCCAGCTTCGACTATCTGCACAACGAGGGCGAGCGCGTGCTGCTCGAGGCCATGGACGAGCTCGAGGTCGCCTTCTCGCACCCACTGGCCAAGCGCACCGACTGCAACCACATATTCCTGAACTTCGTGCCGACCGTGATCATGGATCCGGCGCGCATCGAGGAGAGCGTCACCAGCATGGTGCTGCGCTACGGTCCACGTTTGTGGAAGCTTCGCGTGCGTCAGGCCGAGATCAAGATGACGATCAGGCCGGCGCCAGGCAAGGCCACCTCCAACGTGCGCCTGTGCATCGCCAACGACAGCGGCTACAGCATCGATCTGCACCTGTACGCCGAGACCACCGACAAGACGGGCGTCATACGCTTCGAGTCGTGCGTGCCGAGCAACGTCGACTCCAAGAACTGGCGTCCCGGCCCCATGCACGGCCTCGCCATCTCCACGCCCTACCTCACCAAGGACTATTTGCAGTCGAAGCGCTTCCAGGCCCAGAGCGCCGGCACCACCTACGTCTACGACATTCCCGACATGTTCCGCCAGCAGATCCAAAAGGTCTGGGAGAAGCACATCGAGGAGTTACCATCCACTTGCGGTAAGTGCCTATATTTGTTTTTTTGGTCTTCGTCGTCGTCGCGTGTTTGTTCGCAATTCGTGCCACACGGCTTCACTCCGGATACACAAAACGCGCGCATACGTACATGCAGTATTTCTCTTATGCAACAAGTCGCATTCGCATGCTAAGAACACTTTGCCGTCTTTGAGTTTCCGAGTCTTGAGCAAACAATTTGCTCTCTGTACGTAAAAGTTGAGATCATTCGGAATCGTTGAACATATTTATGCGCGGAGACACGCGGTAAAAAGATGTGCTCGGTTGATTTTTTTTTACGATTGAACAAACAGCCATAAATGAAGCAATAACTTATCATGACATTTTTTTTCTCTTCATTTTTCTAGAACAAAGATCCATGCCTCCTTCCCTGTTGGACAGCGTCGAGCTCGTGCTCGACGGCGACAATCTCGTCGAAATGAAGAGATTACCGGGTGAGAACGACGTAGGGATGATCGCCTGGCGTTTCACCATGTACACACCGGAGTATCCGTCCGGACGCGACATCATCGTCATTTCCAACGATCTGACCTACCTGATCGGATCGTTCGGACCCAAGGAGGATTTGGTCTTCTGCAAGGCGTCCGAGCGCGCCCGAGAACTCGGCATTCCACGCATCTACTTCTCGGCCAACGCGGGTGCTCGCATCGGCCTGGCCGAGGAGGTCAAAGCTGCTTTCCGCATCGCGTGGGAGGACGACAGCGAGCCCGAAAAAGGCTTCAAGTACATTTACCTGACTCCCGATGACTTTTCGCGTTTGGCACCTCACAACTCTGTCAAAGCGCAGCTCATCGAGGAGAACGGCGAGTCTCGCTACAAAATCACCGACATCGTCGGCAAAGACGACGGTCTCGGAGTGGAAAATCTCAAGTACGCCGGTCTCATTGCCGGAGAGACTTCACGCGCTTACGACGAGGTAAACTATATACCAAATTCATTTAGTTTTTTTACAATAGATCGAATGATAGATAATAAATTCTACATTTTATTATTTTAGATCGTAACGATCTCGCTTGTATCGTGCCGAGCCATTGGTATCGGCTCCTACCTCGTCCGTCTGGGCCAGCGTGTCATTCAAATTGAAAACTCGCACATCATCCTCACGGGCTACAGAGCCCTCAACAAAGTACTCGGTCGCGAGGTCTACGCCAGCAACAATCAGCTCGGTGGCGTACAGATCATGTACAACAACGGAGTGTCGCACGCCGTGGAGTCGCGCGATCTCGATGGTGTCGCGACGATGCTCCAGTGGCTGAGCTACGTGCCGAAGGCCCGTGGTCAGCCACTGCCCATCAGACCGATGGATCAGCTCAGCGACCCGATCAATCGAGAAATCGGCTACCTGCCACCCAAGGCTCCCTACGATCCGCGCTGGATGCTCGAGGGTCGCATCCACCCCAACGACTCGAACGTCTGGGAGAGCGGCTTCTTCGACAAGGGCTCGTGGCAAGAAATTATGCAGATGTGGGCGCAGACCGTCATCATTGGTCGGGCACGACTCGGTGGTATACCCGTCGGCGTGATAGCCGTGGAAACTCGCACGGTCGAGCTTCACTTGCCCGCTGACCCGGCCAATCTCGACTCCGAGGCCAAGACCGTGTCGCAAGCCGGCCAAGTCTGGTATCCAGACAGCGCCTACAAGACCGCGCAGGCCATCAAGGACTTCGAGCGCGAGGAGTTGCCTTTGATCATTTTTGCCAACTGGCGTGGTTTCGCCAGTGGAATGAAAGGTAGGTTCTGCGTGACCGACTTGAGTTACGATTGATTTCATTCGAAGGGATCGTATTTAATTCATAAAAATTTTCTCATTATAGACATGTACGAGCAAGTCGTGAAATTCGGAGCATATATAGTAGACGGATTAAGAGAATATACCAGGCCAGTAATAGTTTACATACCACCCAATGCCGAGCTTCGTGGAGGAGCGTGGGCCGTGGTCGATCCAACGATCAATCCTCACTGCATGGAAAACTTCGCCGACTCACACAGCCGCAGCGGTGTCCTCGAGCCCGAGGGTATCGTGGAAATCAAATTCCGCGACAAGGACCGCGTCAAGGTGATGCGCCGCAACGACAAGATCTGCCAGTCGCTGGCCGAGCAGATGGCCGCCAGCTGCACGCTGACCGACGACGAGCGCAAGATCGTCGAGGCCCAGCTGGCCGAGCGCGAGCAGTACCTCACGCCCGCCTACTACCAGGTGGCCCTGCACTTCGCCGATCTGCACGACACGCCCGAGCGCATGCTCGAGAAGAACTGCATCAGCGAGATCGTGCCGTGGAATCGCGCCCGGCCGTTCTTCTTCTGGCGTCTGCGTCGTCGCATCCTCGAGAACCAGATTCGCCGGGAGGTGCTCAAGACGCAGCCCGATCTGAGTCTGCGCCAGCTCGAGGCCACGCTGCGCCGCTGGTTCGTCGAGGACAAGGGCCCGACCGAGTCCTACCTGTGGGACCGCGACGAGCACGCGGTCAGGTGGATCGAGGAGCAGATGGCCACTGAGAACAGCGTGCTGCAGCACAATCTCAACTGCGTGAAGAAGGGCGCCCTGGTGAACCAGATCAAGGAGGCGCTCGACGCCAATCCGGACTCGCGGCTCGACGCCGTGCTTGAGATCGCCCAGCGTCTGCAGCCGCAGGAGCGCGCCGAGTTGTTGCGCTCGCTGACGCAACTCGAGGCCTCGCCCGCCGCTGCCGACGCGCGAGTCGACTCGAGCTCCAACTCGTCGTCGCCCTAGTCCGAGCTGAACGCCGTGGCGATGTTTTTCTCGCTGCGCTACGCTGCCATAGGATGGCTCTCCATAATTCTTGGCTATTTGTACTATATTCATTGATCGACGAGTTAATATTTAAGAAAAAAAACAGAAAAGACGAATAACAGAACAGACGAGTTAACGATTGTGTGCGACTGTTGAATTATATTTTGTAAAGAGAGTGTTTCTAAGATGTAAATGTAAATTTGTAATTGTTACAGAAAAAGTTGTTAATACTGTTGAATATGTTTATACATTAATTTTTTAAGTCGTCGACGCGACATTTGGTTTGACTAGTGTGCTAAAAACGGGTGTACAGAACAAAATAAACTACGTGTAAATAATACAAATGTTCTATGCACATGATATACGCGCTGGGTGTCGTATTAATCGTTAAGTGGTTAAGGCCCAAGTTTCAGCTTGGATCTTTTAGTTTAAGCAATTAAGAATAAAAGAAAGGATGTAATTTTACACTGAAAAAGATATTTTCTCATATCTCTTGAAAAAAAAGAAGCTTCGAATGATCGTAAAATTTTTGAATGTACGTCATTGATTCGAAACGAAATATTTGTTTGAACCAATCGTGCATTTGATCAATGATGAAAAAATTGTTTATGGTTTTTCCCTTTTTTTGTTTAGTTTTTCGTTTAGTTTAGTTGCGTTAATTCTAATGGCATAAATTTTTGTTTTCTCATTCATAGCTTGTAACGCTATTCTCTCAATTTGTAACACTGACTATTGAAAAAATAAAGATTATGCATTTATATTTTAAACAATAAAAACACACGTGAGTTTTTTTTTGCATTGCGATTTTATTTTGTTCCTAGGGACGGACACGCGACGATCGGAGGTAAGGAGCAAAAAAATTGAAGAGAATAAAAACATTCAGATGGTGGTCGCCCGGACGTTGCTGTAATCGTCGCTTATGAAGCCCGGTATTTGCGGTATGCACTGTTGCTTTCTCGCGAGGTACGTCACGCCACCGATGATCCTCGGCTCGAGCAGGTCGTTCGAGTGAGTCTGCTGTTGTTGCTGATACATCGGAGCCGCAGTCGGTTGTGGTTGTTGCTGCTGTTGCTGATGCTGTTGTTGTTGTAGTTGTTGTCGCTGTTGTTGTTCCATTGTTTGGAACTGATGATGTTGCTGCATCTTCTGTAGCTCGTACACCTCCTGCCGCTTATGCTGCTCGTTGGCGTAAGTCTGTGGCTGTTGCTGTGGCTGTTGTTGTTGCTGCTGCTGTGGCTGCTCGCAGCAGCCGAGCTCCCGCTGTCTGTTGCAGTAGATCGACGAGTCGCCTCTCTGGGGCGGATACACGACGGGCTGCTCCTGGGCGAGCAGAAGCTGCCTCAGTGCGTGCGATCGCGAATTGGGCGGTGGATTGCCGGCTCTGCGCGAGTTCTCCAGGCCGTTGGACGAGGGCTTCTTTCTCGAGCGCTCCTGCTGCTCGTGCCTGAGGCCCATCTCTCGGGAGATCCTGTCCATGTCCTCGCTGTCCTGGGTGCCGTCGAGTCGGCACTGGTTGCGCGACAGGTGGCCGTACTTGTTGCTGCTGAGAATTTCCTGGGCCACAGCCAGCTCCTGCAGGCCGTTGTTTTTGTGGGAGAGCAGCTTCGCCTCCTTCTCCAGGCGCATACGCACGAGGCTCGACGGCTCGAGACGTGGCTTTGGCTGCTGCTGCTGCTGCTGATGTGGTTCGGCGGGCCGCGTATCGACACCCTCTTCCTCCTGTTGCTGCTGTTGCTGCTGATGATGATACTGCATCTGATGTCGTTGTTGCTCGACAGCTTGCTGCTGCTGCTGCTGCTGCTCGCGATAGAACGCCTCGCCACCACCGCTGAGCCGGTGATTATTGTTGTTGATCGGCTGCTCCTGCACCAGGCACGACGTCTCCAGTACCTGGATCTGCTTGCACTGCTCCTCGAGCAGACGATCGAAGTGGCGCTTGATCAGTGTCTCGGGTATGCCCTGCTGGCTCATGGTGCTCACCAGCAGCTCCTGATCCTGCAGCATCTGCGGCGTGAACCGAATCTGCGACTTTCCGCCCTGCGAGCGCACATACAATCGTTATTATCATTCAACGCGTTCGTCAAATTTTTCGATAAGTAATAATAACGTACCGCATCGGGGGCGCTCGAATTCGTCGCCTGAGCCTTGGATGTCGGCCGCGAGTTTCTATTATTGCCTTGTGCGTCCGAGCAATGATGATGACTGTCTTCGCCACGGAATTTCATTTCGTCCATTGCGAATTTATTGTATCCCGATGATGACATTTTGGATTCCGATGGATTTTTAGAAGCAATTTAGATATCGATAGTCTAAAAATGCAGCGAGAAGAAAAGAAAAATGGAAAAATTTGGTTATTCCGAACGATAGGAAAACGAAGGGGGGTAGCGTCGCGAGTTCACGTTGTGCGCGTATTGAAAATTTTTATACTATCGATCGACCATCCTAGTAACGATCTCGACGGAGAACTGATTTATAGCGGACAACTTCAGATGGATTCGATTGTTTCGAGAGTGTTTACTGTTAAAATTATTTGAATGAAATTCAGACATTTCTTTCTCTAGAAAGAAGATATAAGACTAACAATTCCAATTTTTTGAAAACCTTAATTTTCAGTTATATAACTATTTTTACTTTTTCACTTGCAGGTGTACAAATAAAAGTACTCGCCATCTATTGGTGGCAGTTGGTTTTAATTATTATTGAATTTTCGTGAAATTTTTGTACAATTAATTTAGGTATAGAACGACCTTTTTTTTGTTCGTTTTTGCATGTAAAGTATAGCGTGTGATTGCACTTTCATCAATTTTTCTTCAGTTTATGTAAAAAAATTAATTAGAACTAAGATATTAATTTCAAACGATGATAGAATTGAAGAAATAAAATTCAGTATAAGTTACTTAATTTTTGTGCAGCTAATTTCATCTAAAATCTCTTTCAAACACTATAAACGCAGATGTACGTTACATATCGATAAATGAAGCATTCGAGACAGGTAGAGTAGAAAAAAATATGTAAATTTATTTCTTGACCGATCCATCTGAATATTATAGAAAATTAAACAAAGAAAAATCATAACAACAACGATAACAATTGTAAGATTCAAACTCGCTCTCTAGACGCGATAATCTTGGGGCAGCAGGCAGTATCCGGAGCCGTTGGGTGGCTGGGCGGGGACCCCGCGCCTGTTCATGCGGCAGGCGTGCTCCTCGAGGCGGCGCGCCGCTGTGTCTTCGTCCTGCGCCTTGGGACTCCAGAGCCGCTCGGCCGCCGCCGAGGCTCGTGGCCAGACTCGCTGGTGCACATTGTTCCTGGGTAAGAAATAAAATATAAAATGATTATAATTAAAGTAAGACAACATTAAAACACAAAAATAATTAAATCAAACCAATTTAACAAGATAAATTTTCATTTTCAAATTTATTTAATTATATCATACAGGAAACATACTTCAAATATGCTAATCGGCGTCATGAGCTTTTTTCTGTATAGCCGCCAAGCAAATATTACATAAATCTTTGTACTTTAGCGTCTGAATGATCATTTCACAGCAGAGAATCGGCAGTCGGTAGTGTATCAGTTCCATGAAAGGATTCAGTGCCCATCGCCGGCAAAATCCTCTCGTTAAGATCTCGAACAGACGAGTAGTATAAGCCTGAATACCCCTCACGTGGCGTTCGTCCTGAAAATCAGTCAAGCACGCGAACTTGATGTAATCTGAATATTTGAGTCGTTTCGCCGCCTCTTCCGGTCGTAGCTGGATCATTTCGTAGAGCGACAAACTCGAATTAATCATTATTTCTTTCGATTTTTTCGCAAATTCTTCGTCATTGTGCCAAGATTCGTCAAGACCCGACGAACTCTCCAACGATTCGAATCTGGAGAACAATTTCATTATCTGTAGGGCATCGCTGAGATTCAGCTCGCATCCTTTTCTTTCGAGACGTTCGACGACTTTCAGAGCGCGCAATGCTATAATCAATTCATTGATGGTAAATTTAAATTCCTTAATGAATTGACTCTCGGTGGGAAACACGAAGTTCGATAGATCAGCACCACGTCGCAAAAGAATACGAACGCAATCCGGATAGAGATTTGTCACGGCCAATTGAAGGGGCGTTCGGCCCAAATTGTCCCGGGCGTCGACGTGCACCGGCTGTTTTAATTCTTCGGTCATCTTGAAAAATAGCTTCATCAAGCCATCATCGTTGCTCATGATGCAAATAATGTGAAGAGGAGTCCATCTATTCTTGTTGGCTGAATTCTGATCGGCGTGTGTTTTCAGCAACCATTTGACCTTCTCCTTGCTATTGTATTCCAGAACAGAGAGTAGGGGTATACCATAATATGATATAACTGATAGATTTTTACAGGAAATTAAATGCAGAGGAGTCATTCCGTACTGGTCGGGTAAATTTAGGTGGGCACCTCTTGTCAACAGCAAGTCGATCACCCTTTGGTTTTCAGTGTATTTCAGAGCCAAATGCAATGGTGTGTTACCGTCTTTGTCCTGGGCATCGACATGCAACGTCTGCTGAAGGTCGTCGTTGATCTTGAAGAATAGTTTCAGGAAGTCAACATCTGAGTACAATAAGCAAATCATATGCAGATAAGTCAATCCCTTTTGGTCGACCAAGTTAGGATTGGCGCCATTTCTCAGCAAAGATTCTGTCACCTTCTTTTGGCCGTAGAGTACAGCCAAATATAGCGGTGTCCAGCCTACCTTGACTCGGGCGTCGACCTTCACCGTCTGTTGCATGTCTTTGATGACCTTGAAAAATATCTCCATCAAGTCATCATCGTATTTTCTCATGCAAATGATGTGCAGAGGAGTGATTCCCTCATCGTTGGCGAGGTTTGGATCGGCACCATTTCTCAGCAGAAATTCAATCAATTTTTTGTTGCTGTAGTGCAGAGCCCAGTACAATGGTGTTTTACCCGAGTTGTCCCGGGCGTCGACCGATATCGGTTGATATTTGTCATCGCTGAGCTCGAATATCATCTTTACTAAGTCCCCGTCACCACCTGTTTTGCTAAAAATGTCCAAAGCCGTTCTTCCGTCTCTATCGGTTAGATTAGGATCGGCCCCACTTCTCAGCAACAGCTCGGCGACCCTTTTGTGGTTGCGGGCCACGGCCGAGTGCAGAGGCGGATCGCCTGTTTCTTGCTCACGGCAGTTTGGATTCTGTCCGATTTCGAGGAATTTCTCGACGACGTCGTCGAAGCCGCATTTGCAGGCCGCATGAAAATGCGTGCTGCCCCACTCGCTGATGTAGTTCGCGTCGAATCTCTGGTAAATTTTGAACAGTTCATTGACGACGATGTATTGGATCGGGGATATGGCCGCGTAGTGCAGCGGTGTGGTGCGCAACAACAGCGGCTCGCCGTTTTCATCGTAGTCTGGCTTGTCTTTGTAGCCCGTGCTGCTCACGAATTCGATGAGCGGACCTGGCTCGATCGCGTCGCTATAGGAAAGCACGTCTTGCGTGATGAGCCAATCGATTTCTGTAGGCCGAAAAATATCTCGAAGATTTGGCAGTCGGCCCTTCCAGTTTTCGATTAAGGGATAAAGTTGGCGGAGCAGTGCATGTCGTTCCGAGTGAAACTTCCAATTGACTTTTTCACGCATACTTTTCAACTTTGCTAAGCTATCCTCTTCGAGGTGATTCACTCGTTTTATGTCGTCGTGGTCGTCAGTTATGCCTCTTGCACGGGGACTTTTATCGGTCGCGGCAATCATTTTGCGCACTTACACAAAAACACAGTCGCTTACAATTTAAGATACTTTTTTTCCTACACAATAATCACTTGCTACTCTCCATGAGATCTTTCTTTATTCTTTACACTTCAGCATCTCAATGCATACTGACTATACCCAGATGCGCGGCGATCGATGCAGAGAGAATGTCGTACAACGGGTGGTCGAAGAAATACGAAATACAACTTGCATCAGCTGTACGTAGAATGACGATTAGAAAGCGTAGATCCAACGCAGTATGAGAGCTGATCGTGCACATGGCTAGGTTTAGACAACGCCCCTTACTTTGCTGTATTTTCACTTTCTACTCTTTACCAACGTGGATCAATTTTCGTGCAAGTAACGGTCGTATTTTAGGTATATATGATTGTTGCTAAAATTACCTATCGACGAATTCGCCCCACATGCAGGCCTCGCCGCCCAGCACGAGGTCGCGCTGCTTGGCCTGGCTCAGCGTGGCGTTGAAGTCCAGCGGGTCGCAGCGATAATACTTGAGCCAATCGCCGCCCCCCGCGACGTGATCGAGATACCAGCAGGCCGAGAGCAGGGCCTTGTGGCCGGCCCGGGTCACCGCGTCCATCTCCCTGGGCCAGTCGCCCGTCCAGACGTGCACCACCGTGGAGCGCGCCAGTCGCAGGCCGTTGTCGAACACCTCCTGCCAGACGACGGGCTGCAGCCCGAGCTCGCGCGCCATTCGCAGCACCCGCTCGACGTAGTACTCCTCGAGGAGCTCGTAGCGCTCGAGGCTGATGTTGCGCCGCTGCATGAAGTCGCGTATGTCGGGATTGCTGCGCCAGCAGTCGTAGAGCACCTCGTCGCCGCCCAGGTGCACCTGGCCGTCGGGGAAGCGCTCGCCGAGCTCGCGCAGCAGCTCCTCGACGAGGTCGTAGAGAGGCTCGTGGCTCGGGTCCATGGGGCCGAGCTTGCCGGTGGCGCGACCTTCGGCGTCGTAGCAGCGCGTCAGCAGCTCCGGGTGCGAGCGACCCCAGGACTTGGTGTGGCCGGGCGTGTCGAGCTCCGGCAGCACGCGTATGCCCCGGCGACGGGCGTGCTCGACGACGCGCGCCACGTCCTCCACCCGGTAGATCATGGACGGATGATAGGCGCCCTTCTGGGCGAGCTCCGGATAGCGCAGGCTCTCGTACGGGAAGCTGTTGTCGTCGACCAGATGCCAGTGCAGCACGTTGAGCTTGTTGTAGGCCATGGCGTCGAGGATCAGCAGAATGTCGCGCACCGGCAGAAAGTGGCGCGACGTGTCGATCAGCAGGCCTCGATGGCCGAATCGCGGCAGGTCGCTTATCTCCTGGCCCCGCAAGTGTATCGATTTCTATGCGTAATAATATAACGAAGAAAATGATTAATTTCTCGGCTTATCGGACAGAAAATAGTTCATGAGTAAATCGTAAATGGGTATCAACTTGCCTGAGTCTCGTTTCTGTAGAGGAGCTGCGAAAACGTCTCCAATCCACGAAGTATTCCCCAAATGGAATCGGCCGATAAATAAGCAAGTGCATTGTTACCGATACTCAGCTGATCTGTAACACATGGTATGAGCAACTCATCATTATCAAAATTTCGTTTTGTGTTTTTTTTGTCGATCGAAAGATGAAATTTCCGTCAAAGATCCATTATGCTAGTAGCATGCCTCGCTCGCTCACGCTTGCTTGGTTATTAGGCGTTTTTGTAAGAAATGTCCGGGAAGTGAGAAATTTAGGATAGTTATTGCAAGTACTGCTCAATATATGAAATATGGAAAAATACCCCATAACACTTATCTACGCACTGCAGCAGCTACGCGTTTGAACCACTGGTGAGACGAGGCGCCAATTCGAATTTGGCCAACAAGAGGGGATTGACTCTTTTACACATTATATGCAATAATCGTTACAATCTACTTGAACGCGTGAGGATATTATTTGAGATCAGCGATAGCAAATATCAGTTGCTGCGAGTCAATGCTCGAAACAAGTTGCCTGTGGTCGATGTACTCTTGGATAATGGCGCCGATCTGTCCAGCTTCGTGTTTCCCACCGAAAACGACTTCGATGAGAAATGGACATCCAACGGCTTTGAGAATCGGCGAATCGCGACGACGATCATTGGTACAACGACGCGAGCTTCGTTGCAGCAGCGAAAAAAATCATGATAAATCCGCATCGGTCGCTCGATGACTCGATCCGATTACGACCCGAAGAGGCGACAAAATTACTCACGTTTATGGAATACTTCGAGTTTGCGCTGTGGGAGAAATTGCGCGAGCTGTCCGAGGAGCATAAAGAGGCTTGTACCGCGCACCTTTGCGAGATCCTGTCAAAACGATTTTTCCGACGATGGGCACTGTATCCTTTTTGGGAGAAAATCTTACACTACCGACTCTGCTGTGACATGATCATCGAGCAGCTATCGAACAAAGATTTACTCAACATTTGCTTCGCAGCTGAGTGGAGAGTCTAAGCTCGTAATGCAGCTCTTTCATTTTCATATCCATTATAGATACAAGATACATATATGTTAGTATGGGAACAGTATGATACCTTTGTTTTGTCTCTTTGTTTAAAAGTGTGTAATTTAGATTGAAATAAATTGAAAATTTGAAAATCTCAGTGAATGCGTTTATATTTTGATTTTGTTCATGATTTAATTCTATTTCAGTTTTTCTTCGATCCGAGCAATGAGGAAAAAAATCTTGAGATGTAATTATAAAAAAATAAAATCGGTTGTACGCGGGCACTGACATTTGGAATTTGCAACTAATGGTCTTAGGATAAAAATGCAAGTGCACCATTATCGAAAATTCGAAAAAATTTGAAGATATTCCTGATGAATTTTATGAAATTTTTGTTTCATAAAATTCTCTTCTAATCTTATTGGTTTTCCAGTTAAAAAAAGTACTAAAAATTTTTTTCACGATTACTCACATTGCTCGTTGGAATCGATCCTCGGATACTTGGCGCACTCGCTGGCGTCTTGCAAATCGACCCGAAGCTGGCTTATCGTCGATTTGCAATCCTCGTCCGCAGCGCTCGGCTCGCGACGACTGCTATCGAAGCCGAACTCGGTGCGCATCAAGTTTTCGTATCTCTCGAGTGCCTCTTGTAAAAGATCGCAATTCTGGTTGACCACCTGCGAACGACACAACAAAAACAACAACGATGATGATTCGAACGATCGATACCGCATATACAACGTCATTATCTTCTACAGATCTCGGAAAACGGTATTGTATTACAAGGCGTGTACGTAAGCCGGCCGCGCGATTACCTTGAAGTCGAAGGTGTCGAGATCGAGACAGTGGCGTTGCTCGAGGAGTCGCCTGTAGGCCGGCTCGGGCCAGGGCTCGCCCTGCGTGGCGATGAACCAGGGACCGGCGTCGTCGTGCCACTGGCCGTGCGCGCGACACCACGCCAACGAAAGCACGAGAATCGAAGAGACGAGCGTACGAAGAGACATGCCGCTGCCGCTGCTATACAACGTCGACCGCGATTTAGCCTGCACTAAACCGAAAGTAGAACTATTCGCAGTCGCGAGTGTGCGCCAATTACTGCTGCTGTGTATTCATGCCCCGTATAGCGTGGCTCGCGCAAGACGGAGAGAGAGAGAGAGAGGCGGCTTATTTACCAATCGGTCATTTTATTATGTACTTCTTATCGAGCGCAGAAAGAGAGAGAGAGAGAAGCACTTGACCGAGTGTATTTATCGCTCTCGCAGGCCGTTTGTTTTTCGTTTTTGCCTATACGTACGGGTATGCATTAATATCGAGTGGCGCTGTGCAATGCGTAAGTGTAAAATTATCGCTTCGATTTGTATTATATGTATCAAGATGGCTATTTAAGGCTGTCAATAGTAATTCTGCTCGTTATCGAATTCAAAGTGGTCATCGATAAAGAGATGCTTAATACGCAAAACGAGCTGCTCTTATTTTCCATATAGTTCTCGTATCCTCAATTTTCTGTCAAAGCTCTCTCTTTCTCTGCAATTCGAAAAATAAAATCTCAATTTCACAAACGATTAAAATGCAGGCAAATGAATAAACAGGCGATAGGCCCTATTAAAAATTCCATAAAAATTGTAGACACATTCATTGTTTATGCGTAACAATTTTTAAATTATTTATCAAGATCAATTATACGTCAAAAACTCACTCAAAAAAAAAACTAATTTTGGGGACTCAAAAAAAAAACTAATTTTGGGGACGATTTGCATATTCGTGCAATAGGCCCAAATAAATGAATTCGTGTCAATTTGAGAGTGATGGAAAGTATATAAACTTGTGTTAAATACTACATCATATGTTTTAATCATTTTCACCAAGACACCTAAGCAATTAATCCAAAAAAATGAGCGAGCGATGCAATAATTACTGTAAGATTGTGTACTGCGTTGAGCCGGTCTTTCGCGCTGCGATTGGACGGCGATATAAAGTGCCCGAGAATCTGCTCGCTTCTGCGGCATCGAGTAGTGCCCGCGAATGCGTCTACTGCTTGGCGCTCGCAGGCCTTTGTAACGAGTATACACTGTACAGCATGCGTTGTAGTGTCACGTATCTCTGTCTCACTCGCGCTCGCTGCAGTTGCCTCGCCAGCATATATTGGGCGTGTTGCTGGCTGCTGCTCGTCGCCGCTCAGTCAAAAAAACGACAATCGACAGTCGACAGTTTACGCGCTCTTATGGTTGCCGTGTCGATCAGTTCACGTTACGACGCCGCTGCGTAAACATCGATCAACGAAGGATATCGCATCGACTACCGCGAGTTACTCTCCACAGAATCAAAAAAATATTTCATACAAGTGACTTTGTGTTGTGTTGCGTGTATTGAGTGCGAATATCCTATAAACATGTCCGACGATGAATCCAATGAAATTAGCAGAGCAGAAGCGATACAGAATTTTCGTAAGAAATGCAACTGGGAGATCAAAGAGCGATTTCGATTTCTCACTGATATCGAACCCATACTAAGAACTTGGAATGACGACCTTCCTAATCTTCGAGATCTTTTTCGGAAGGATGAAATTGAACGTCTTCTAGTGGATTCTATATATTTTTTGGAAGTGATGATAGACGATAATCCAGGAGAGATATTTTTGGACTTCGTACTTCGCACCGGCTACAAGGACGAGCCTGACATCGGCGAGGACGGCAAGCCCCTGTTGCTACGCAGCACACCTGTGCACTGGGCGGCTAAACTCGATCACGAGACCGCCGCCGAGGATCTTTTCAATATATACGACAAATTCGAGGCGAATTACATCGACGAGGAGACGAATATGACGCATTTTCACGCGGCCTGCATGACCGGTTGCGTAGAGATCGTGAGGAAATTTCTCGAGCTCGGGCTGGATCCCAATCTCCCCGTGCAGGAAACGGGCGACGCGCCGCTGCACTTGGCACTGCTCTGCGGCTGGACGGACGTGGCCGAATTTCTGCTGAGCAACGGGGCCGATCCAAATTTGGCCAGCGCCAACGGATCGACTCCTCTGCACGTAATGTGCCAGCAATACCTCGACCGCGATGAAGCGGAGGAGATGTTATTTGACTTCTGCCAGGACAGATATAAGCCGGTGACGTTTGACGCCCGGGATCAATTGGGCAACACGCCACTGCACTTTGCTCTCCGCTACGATTATCAGAAGATGGCTGAACTGCTGCTGAGAAAAGGTGTGGATCCAAATTCAGCCAATGCCAAAGGAGCGACTCTTTTGCATTTTATTTGCTTCGGAGACGACAATGTTGATCTGATTGAGCGGTTCTTCAAGATCAACGATGAGCTTCAGCAGACCGTGCAGGTTGATGCCAGAGACGAGAAAGGCCGGACACCGTTGCAATATGCCGTGGCGAATTTTTGTCCACGCGTGATCGAGTTTCTGTTGGATCATGGTGCTGATCTATCGAGCTTCGTTTTTCCTTCTGAGAGTGACTTCGAGGAGGAATTTGAAGAGCGGAAACATACCGTTTTGGGTGATTTTAAATTGACAGTAGCATCTGGCGCGCTGGCCTGCGTCGAATGTCTAGAGAAAAGAGGATACCAACTGAAACGAAGCGACGCCCTGACAATCATGAATGTATTCGCCAAGCAGAATGTGTTCGAGACGCCAACGGATCTCGACGAATCCTGGTATGATGACGAGAGATTTGCGAGACGAGCGGCAAAGATAGATATACGTAAGAATCTGACGCTCTACGATTTCATCCGATTACGACCCGAAAGGAAGGAAAAGCTACTCACATTTATGGAATACTTCGAGTTAGCACGTGTGAATTACGCTCGAAGAATTCCTGAAAAACCCAGGGAGGCTTGTACTGCGCACCTTTGCGAGATTCTTTCGAAACGATTTTTCCGACGATGGGCTCTGGATCCTCTCATAGAACTGATGTGCCACCGACTGCCGATTCTCTGCTGTGCCATGATCATCCAGCTGTTGATGAACGAAGATTTACGGCGTGTTTGCTTGACGTCTGCTGGCCCAAGCTCGGGATGACTAAATTTCATTTTCGTAAACATTACTTTTAATGACGAAACTATTTTAAACAGTACAATGTAGCTGCTATTGAATGTAATCATAAATATATGGAAACATAAACTTTAATATTATAGTTATTAATACAGGATCAGTTATAACTTTGTAATATTCTTTGTTAACAATATGCCTTACAATCGAAATGAATAAAGAAAATTGAGTTCATTAATTTGTGTAGATTTTCATTTTTTTATTCAAGTTGTCTTCAATAATCTATTCACATTACTTCTTAGATAATCATACATTTGGAGTATTCAAATTTAATACACAATTAAGAATATGTTAACAATTATTGAATGATCAAACATTTGTAATTTTATGTCCTAAGCAAACCAGTATACCTGTAATCTTGAACATTTTCTTCCTTCATTTTAAAACATGATTTTCTTAAATGAATTTTCCATCAGATACATAATGTAGTGGTAATGTAATGGTAACCATCACAACCAATATAATATATTTAGTTGCAAGTTTGCAAAGAATCTTCTTTGCGCCTTAGTGACATACCACAGTCTTTAACTGTGTGTAAAATATGTTTTTTTCGAATTTTTCAGTTTCACAAAAGCCTTGTCTTGCAAGAAATGTAAAAATATAACTTACAATAAAAGCAAAGATGACTCTCTGCACCCTCGCTTTGCTTGAGTTCAAGCAAATCCTTGTTATATAATATACTTCAATGCTCTTGACAAAGAAATCCTTAACATCCTTTCCTAGAAAAAAGGACACAGAAACTTAAAAAATTATATAAAAAAGCATCATTTCAAATCTAAAAATGAAAAAAAATGAAAACACCTTGATGCAGCAAACAGTATCACATGCTTTGACTCTGTTGGTTTGTCACGATATCTACTGCCAGGCATATCCTTAACAAATCCTCGTTTATCAACATCTTGATGATTTTTTCACAGCAGAGAATTGGCAATTTGTAGTAAGTCAGCTCCAAGAATAATTCCAATGCCCATGTCAGTAAAAATTCTCTTGACTCAATCTTGCCTAAGTACTGAGCGAACAGTTTCATGATTGTTAGAGCGTCGCTTCGGTCTAATTCGTATCCTCCTTTTTCAAGACGTTCGACGACGGCCAACGCGCGATTGGAAGCTCGTTCCAAATTCACCTCCTTATGCTCAATTTGTATTTCAAAAATACATAAATACTCGGCGAAGTGGCTTTTTGTGGGGAAAATGAAGTTTGCCAAATCAGCACCACGATCCAACAGGAACTCAACCAATCCTGGAGCAAGACGCATTACAGCATATTGTAGCGGTGTCCGGCCTAACTCGTCCCGGGCGTCAACCTGCACGGTCTGCTGAAGCTCATCGTTGATCTCGAAGAATAGCTCAACAAAGTCCTTGCAGTTGTGTTTCTGGCAAATATAGTGCAAAGGAGTCCGATTCAGAATATCGTCAGTCAAATTCGGATCTGCGCCGCTTCTTAGCAGCAATTCGATGTGTTTCTTTTTGCCAAGGCACAAAGCCATGTGCAGCGCTGTCATTCCGTTGTTCTTGACGTCTACTGGATGATGTTTATCGTTGATGAGCTTGAACACTGTAGTGATAAAGTCGTCTTTGACTCTAGAGATAATCTGGTGCAAAGGTGCTAATCCCTGAACGTTGAGCAAACTTGGATTGGCACCATTTCTCAGCAACAATTCGACCGTCTTCGGGTTGTTGGATACGGTGGCAAGAGCCAAGTGTAACGGTGATTCATCCGTTTCTGGCAAAAGAAGATTAGGATCGTAGCCGAACTCGAGAAATTTCTCGACTGCGTCATGACAATCAAACTTGCAAGCTATGTGAAAATGAGTTAATCCAGATTCATCGGTGTAATTCACGTCAAATCTGTCGTATATTTTAAAAAGATTATCGATGATGTTGTAATAACCCGCGTGTTTAGCCGCCCAGTGCACTGGCGTGCTGCGACGCAACAGTGGCTTGCCGTCTTCATCGAAGTCAGGCTCGTCCTTGTAGACGGTGCGGATCACGAACTCGATGAGCGGACTTCTCCAAC